CAAGACTGCTGCAGGGACCATGCTACCCATACGCGGGGCACTCTTTAACCTGCTTGGCTATCTGCTCAAGCTGTGTTTCTTTGACTTGGCCCAATTTGGTGGAAACCTTCTTTTCCCCCGTGTGTCCAGTATTACAGGCTTTTGCTCATTTGACAAAAATAAAAAAAGTAACAGGTATGATATGAAAGTGGGCTGAAGCAGCTTTGAACCTCTGCATGTCAGTCACACTGGGTCAGATCTCCCTCTGTGAGTCCAGACAGTTTGTCTTTGACCTTCATCTTCATAGATGAAGGACGTCCTGCAGCCAGACGTCTCATCCCTGGCTGGAAACTGGCCTGTGCCATGCTGCGACTTAGTCACCCATCAAGCTCTACTATCTCCCAAGGGAAACACTCTCAGTCCTGATGTTTGATATCTACCTAACAAGACTGTCTGTATGAAATCCCAAGACACAGACACAGAGCAGAGACAGGCTTGTCTACATCAGACTTCTGATAACCGTCACAGAAGCTGCGGCAGCCTGTCAGACTCTATCAGCGGCGATCAGGAGTTTGGAAAAGGCAGTCTGATTACATCAAGATAGAGGGGTATGCTTAAATTTTTGGTTTTATTCATGAAACTTGAGTTGCAGAGAATTTAAATATGCGCACCGCCTCAGAGTCAGAGTGGGATTCTTGTGTCGGATTCAGCTGCAGTTCTCTAAGCAGCCATTAGGTGTCCCTGCTCCACCAGCAACATCAGCTGGGTTCACATGGACTCTGTTGATGAGATTTTCTGAGTCCTGCTCTCAGTGCGGATGCCGAGCAGGTGACTGGGCTATAGATCTAAATATTATCCTAGCAACAACTGCTGCTTGATTTTCCTATCCTCCATATCTGCAAGTGTTTTTTAGTGCAGTCAGACTGAGGATTAAATACCCCCACAGGGCAAAAGGCTGTCATAATTAAAAGACAATATAGGCTCTTTGTATCCAAAGTGACCCACAGTGTTTTGCTCATTTGGCATATCTGTAGGACATATAGGACATCTCTCGACTAAATCTGCTTTATTCTATATCTTATATTAATAATGGATGAAATGACTATTTAATGGAAGGGGTCTCTCTCTCTCTGTGCCAAGACTTTCCTCCTAACTCTAAGAGCTCTCCACTTCCTCAGAGGTTTTGTGTCTTTTGGCTCATCGTTTCGGTCCCAGAGAAACGAGGGCTACATCTGCTCTATAACTGCCTCACGTTTCACTCATGTTTGCTAACAGTTTTGACATTATGTCCGGTTGAAGGGAATGGAAATAAACTGATACAGCTAGTGCAGCTTGTTTCCTACCCCTTAAAATAACCTAAAGATCAGTTGATGCTGGTTTGCCCCGGAAAAAAGACGCTTTTACGATTCAAATAATCCATAATCATGTGTTTGTTCAAAGACGAGACCACATCTGTCTGATGGCTGCTTTCAGTCTCTACAGAAGACGGTCAATACTCAGAACAAAGAAGCATTTCATTTGTGGGAGAACATAAGCTATGAGCAGTATTACAAGACGTTCCCGGGCATGAAGCATATTTTGACACAATAATAAGGCAAAACAAACCTTTATGGCCAAAAATGGGTACGCCTTGCTTGTCTTCTGTTGCAGCATCGGCAGATCTGGTAAGTCTATCGTATTTGGAGTTTACCTGAGAGCAAAGAGTGGAGAGAAATACTTATGCTAACACCTGCAGCCAAATGATCTGACTGTGGGTCCACAACTCCAATACTTAGCCCATTATCCTCTATCTGTTCCTCATTTATTAACCTGGAGATGTGGTGCAGTGATTTACTGGAAGGGTCGTGCTGCTTTAATGTGCCCCTTGAATGCTTCAGCATCCAATTTTGGAAAGTTGAATCAACAACTTCTCCATAAAGATTGATTTACATCCCACTCAAAAACAACAAGATGGGCTTTTACATTAAAAGTTACCTCTGAGAAATCTGAGCAAACTGAATGGTAGACAGATAATTAATACGTCCAATCTGAACCTTCTTGTATAGCCAGAGCCGGTTCTAGAATGTGCTGGGGCCCCAAGCAAAAATTCTCAAAGGGCCCCTCTGACAAGAGTTAAACATATAAATGATCTGAAACCAACAAAAGAGGACAGAAAATTTTTAGAAACAATTATCATTATTACTACATAACATGAAAATTTTGCTCTAAAACAGCTACAGCTCTGGTATGCTTTTACCACAATAACCAGCACTTCACCCTTATTCTAAGATTTGATGTCTGTGACTTACTTCAGTTTGTTATATGCTCCAAAGTTGATAGTCTTTCACACAGAAAGCACACTGTCTAAATTTAGATCTACATTTCAAAGCATCAATAGTGTAAGAGTTAGTCTAGTTAAGACTCGACTTTCATTAATAGTGTTTCATTAACAGTTACAGCTGTTGTCTTGGTTAGCCAGTGTGCCACAGTGTTATTTAAGTCAGGGAAAAATTCAAAACAGTGATCTTATCGTCAAAGCATGGGGATAGGGCACCACCTTATGGACTGTTTACAATGAAAACACAAACCAAATGAAATTATAATCAATACTTCTGAATCATTCCCACCAATAGAGTGTATATTGGTATGATGTGTACCCCTGGTCTAAAGGCCCGGCTTCTCAAGATCTGGCTTCCTTCAAAGAGCCATGAATCCAGTCTGGAGCAGGTATCAGCTGAGTCACAATTGTTTACCAGCTGTAACAGTGCACCTTACTGCTAGCTTTAAAGACAGACACCAAAACAGACTGTATTTATCTCAGGAAGGTTAAAGTCTGTTTATTGCTCCACACAGATCTGATGATTTTAACACCTGACTGTTTTTATTAGTCTGTTCACAGACCAAACTGTTGTAAATGTCATACTTGATTGTGATTTCATTACTTTTCCTCATATTTCTGTTTTTTTTTTTTTTATTTGGTACAGAAATACCAGAAGGCAGCATATTGTTCTGAACATCAATTAGTTCCTGACTCCATTCATGAGCAGCTCTTTCTATGAGACATCTGCATGTTCTCATGAGCTCCTCTCTGGTGCTTCAACTTCCTCCATAGTTCAGAAGAAATGTGTGTTTAGTCACTAGTTGTGTGTAGGTGTGTGTGTGATGGCCTGTCTCTCTTTGTCAGCCCAATGATTGACTGGTGGCCTGTTTTAACGTAGACCCTGACTCCCTCCAAATGACAGCTGGGATCAGCTCCAGTCCTCTCAGACCCTTCAGAGGGAAAGCGTTTTTCGATAATAGATGCGGACGCTGAACTAAATTTTTAAGCCCAGGGATGCAGATGAAGTTTGATGCAATGTTTGAATGTGTTGTAACTGTTGTGTATATATATATATATATATATATATATATATATATATATATATATAATTGAAAAAAAGTCTGTTAAAGAGACATGCAGCTGTTAATACATTTGAACCACTTCAAAGTATGTTAAAGTGTCCAGTATGAATCACTAAACTATAGTGGTGGGAATAACACTATTAAAATAAATGCTGTTACTAACGGTGTTATTTTTTTCAGTTATGGGTAATCTGGTTACATGCTGCCACTCCGACATCTCAGCATTCCGACATCCCACCACTCCGACGTCTCACCATTCCGACGCAGCTTTCCATGTAAGGGGGAAGGGGGGGATGCGCATTCACATCTGGAGTCCATCATCTAATCCCGAGCGTAGAACCCATAGCAGACAAGAGCTGTCGGAATGACGGGACGTTTGATAGCATGGTAACATACCGCCACTCCGACAATTAGAGACCAATGTCGGCATGTCGGGATGTTGGAATGGTGGTTGCCCCCCAGTAATCTAACCAATTACTATTTCCATTTTTACAATGGCATCACCATTATTGTTACCATTATCGTTACGACAATTACTAACTACTCAGTAAAGCCGTTGTCCTCCGACTTGGCTCATCTCAGCCACAGAAGCTTCATACTGTTTTTTTTTTTTTTCCTTTGGTGAGGGGAGGGAAGAGGATGGAGGGGTGAGAAAACTGCATAAGTAAGGATGACTGGTTAAGGCAGAGTAAGATTTCATACTAAGCCAATCAGAGGCAGTGTTTAGTCTGTACACAATCCACACGCACGCAGGAACCTCACACACAGAAACTAGCAGAGGGAAGCTGCAGCACTGGCGAGTTCAGAGGGAAAGTGAAAGATAAAAAAAGTAACACAATAGTTACTTTCCTTGGTAACTCGTTACTTTTAAAGTGGAGTAATTCAGTTACTAACTCAGTTACTTTTGGGGAGAAGTAATCAGTAACTTTAACTAATTACTACATTAACTAATTTCCTATTTTCTAATTATTTGTTAAACCAGACTTATTTAAGGTTCTTGAAAACATCTTGCCTCTGTTCCAAAAGTCTTTGTAAGTTCTACAGTGAGGCCAGAGTTGGACATTTATAGCCTCTGTTGGTCCTCCAGCTGTAAGAGGGAGTGGGTGGTCACTTGAAAGTCGTTCACAGCTGGGTCACCTGAGTGTCATTGGCAGGGTCCATTACCTGGTTTCACCTGGAGGGGTGCCCTTCTGGGTCTCTTCAGGTTTGCCATGCTTGCATGATGTTGGAGCCTGTGACCCGGCACGAAAGCGTTCAGAATAAAAACACATTTTCTTTCTTCTAGAAATAGAGCAATAAATAGTAGTAAATATATAAAAAGTTATGAAACAGCTAAAATGTGAAATCAAAACCTCATAAGCAATTTTAAACTGTGCTCTCATAAAAGCCATGAAAAAACAAACTAGTTTTCGTATTTTCTTTTTTTAAACAGCTGGCAATTCCATATAATGTGCAATAATCACTAACCAGATGTTGAAAAGTGAAGTACAAGTACTCTTAGAAAAAGTGACTAAAGCTCTCAGGCTTGGGGCATTTTATGACCATTTTGCATCCATAATAACAAAATATCTCCAAAATCGCCATTTGTAAGTCGTCACAAGCTGCTCACAAGACTCTTTACTTCACAATTTTACATGGATCAAACTTCATTTTTATTTACTGGTATCAGACAGGTGCACAGAATCTGGATAGTCCATGGGAAGTAGCAGCAGGAGGAAAATGGTGACAGAAAGACGAGTAGACCCACAGAGAGATGCAGACTGACAGAGACAGAGTGAACAGATTCCTTCTGCTCGTGTAACTCCCTTTTAAAATCTGACGGGTTTTCGCGCGACATGAGTGAGCGAATTTTTCTCTCCATCCTCTGAAATGTCACAGGAGTGTCTGTGGAGCTGCTCCGTGTCTCTACAATGAGGTAAACATGGAGAATGTCACCATAATTGTAATATGAGGACTGCTGTGGCCCTCTCTCTCTCTCTCTGTCTCGCTGTATTTGATATTTGAGAGTGCACAGACTTCACGGTGCTGGAGAAAAAAAAAATGAAGGTGGAATGGATTCTGAACACACACACACACACACACACACACACACAGATGTGCACTCATACATGCACAATTACACAAACATCAACATGAAGCTCCCCTGAAGGTTCAATCACGCTAATAGAAGCTGACAGCAAATTCACAGTCACAAACATCTCCCTCTTTTATCTCATCTCTGTTTCATCTCACACCCACACCCATCCTTACATTTTCTTTACTTTCTTCATCCCTATTATTTACTGTCACTTTCCTGCACTCCCACTTTCTTTTGCTTTATCTCTTTTCTTTTCTTATTTTCTTTGACTTAATTACCCATTAAGCCTCCTCTTTCTTTTCGTAGAGCAAAAAGACACCGAATGCAGCAATTAGAAGAGCAGCTGGACTGTTTAATTTCCAATTTAGCGAACTCTACAAAGAGGTTGAACCATATGGCCTCTCTCAAAGTGGAAACACACACTATAATTATCACATATTTATAAGTTCAGACTGAAGAGAGTTTTGCTCATGTACACAAAGGTAGAGGACAACAAAAGTGTGTAATTGACACTCAGCAAGGCCCGGTGTAGAGACCATATAATCCCAGAGAGAGTCAGACAAGGTTTAACCCACCAGCAGACTCACTGGTGCTCATTGACAATATTCTCCTCAGAGGTGTCCGGCTCAGAGTGGGAAACTCGTATATCATAATTATAACAGTGTCCCAGGCTGTAAGTGGAATAAACCTTGATACTCGGACGAACAGGGGTCATTTCACAGCTCTCTGATTGATATCAACCAGCCAAACAGACTATGAACAGAGATCAGGTCATAAAAGAGATGACGGTTTGATGGTCTTTGGCTAACATTTGTGCACATCTAAGTAATGAATCATATTGTCGGCTCGTAAATATGATTAGAAACAGAAACCAACATAATCTTTTACACCTCCAATAAAAAAATAAACGTTATGCTTTTGCTAAGATTGCTTCTTCTAGGATCTTTATTCTTAAACCTGAGGCAGCTGCATGCTAATGTTAGCTGTATGTTGACGTTTGCTAAGAGGCTGTGAAAGGAAAAAACTGTATTGAGGAGCAACATGCTGCAGACAGATACATCAAAACTGGGAGTTATGACTAATAGACAGTGTATTTTTCACAGTTAGTATTGTTACTGTAAGAATGATCATGGAACATTTCTAGATTACCCACCCAGCAAAAAGAGGTTGAAAAGATGTAGAATAGACGTCTTCACCATACCTCTAAACAACGTCTAAATTCGGACCGTCTAAATGAAGCCCAGTTTTCAACGTCTTTTTTGGGGCTAAATAACGGCCATGACAGGCTGACGGGATTTAGCCTGACAAAAGACGTCTAAATGACGTTGGGTGTTTGGTGGGTATATGGGTTGCTTGAGGTCAGTCCCTGCAACAGCTACAACAGTGGGGTGACTATTGTTCACCTGCAGACTATTGATAAGATGAGTGAAGCGCGTAAAAGCAGCTGCTGCTCTTCAAGGATACAGACAGTAGAATAAAATTCATTTTTAGGATGCAGTTTTAGGATCATGATTTCATTAGAGACATTTTCCTCTTTTTATGATCTGGATAGATCAACCTGTCATTTCTTTTGAAGGATTAAAGGGCAATCTGCTCTGATTTAACTGGAGGGAGCGCAGAGACAAGTTGTCTCACTTTTACCTGTGAGTTGAGTGTCATTCTTTCACTGTAGTCCTCTCTGTATAATTCTGTGTTCAGCATGGATCCAACTGCTGCTCAGCTAAAACAGGCAGGGTATATAAAAACAAGCAGGGGCGTGTCTAAACCTTTTTGACTGGGGTGGCCCAACGTGAGCACTCACACTGCAGGGGTGGCAAGAAGTATGTGTTCCCAGTGTTGCAATGCTGGCTCTCCAGTTTATTTGAAGTCCCATTTCTAGAAAGGCAAACAGACAAATAAGAGGATGTTAGGAGGTTTTTTGTAGTGTTCAATGTTTAGGGGGTCTTGCCCCTGACCAAAATCCAGGTTTACCTCAGGTCCTGGAGTATGTCACTTTATCATAGTTGTAGAAGTCCTGCAAACATTGTGTTTGCTGGTAGTCTGTTGGCATCTGCAGTAGCACCAATGCTTTTGACTTTTACATTGACTGAGCCCCATTTGTAATTATCTAAAGTATTTATCTGCATTACATCTGAATTTGATTGGAACGATAAGAGCGAGCAGGAGCGTCTGTTTGTGGGCGGGGCTTGCAGGAGCAGAGTGGGAGGGGAGAGGAGGAACTGAGGGGAAAACTGGTTGGGAGGGGTAGAGTTTACATTCAAGATTTCTCCAAAAAAGTGGCACTTCCTCAGATCCTGCCTACCCCACCTTTGAATACTGACCTGCTCCAAGTCTTAGTTCCATCTATGTGCTCTTAACCACCAAAGCTGAAAATCTTGGCCTGTACAGATTCACTGTGCATTTGGTTCACGCTGACAGGACTGACCCGGGTTAGGTTCAGCATCTCAATCCATCATGGCTGCTATGAGCCCAAACACGGGCAAGTGTGCGAGAGCCCGTTCATCATCAACTCTTTTTACACTTTCACAGTTGTGTCCTAAAAACCTCATATCCATAACAAGCTCATTTGACTGTGAACAGATTTCTGGCCATGATCTTGAAGATATTTCCCTGTCTTTGGCTCAAGCACATAAGTTTCTAGGACATAGAATCTTGCTGTAGTTCTGTTTTCTCCTTCAAACCCACTCTCTGGTGCTGGAAGGGATCGATTTTGTGACAAAATGTTGCTGCAGAGTGTCACTTTAAAAAACTACAGGGGCATACAGAGTGGAAGCGGGGGTTTCGCTGACACAGCGTATTATTATCACTCAACACGATGTTTGCTAAAGTGCAGCACATCACCCAGGAGACTCCGAGACAATTTTCAAAAGTTAACAACAGCCTCATCTCTAAGACGCCGTACAGTATTGACTGTTCTCCTCCGAGTCAACAATGAAGTTACAATCCAGCGATTTTAAAGTTACCTCAACAGTCTCTTTGGCGCTCTTTGATGTTTTTCTTTTCCTCCCTCTGTCTCCGTGGGGCCGGGTGGGTGGAGGAGGAGAGGTAATGTGATGCAGAGGAGCGACTGGAGCGAGACGGAGCTCCGAGAGAAAACCCAGGTTCACACCAGGGTGGCTTACACTGCTGCTTTTCTCTGTGTTCACACACACACTCATACACACACACGCAAATGAGCACAGGCATGTACACGCACTCACACACACACAGACAAGCAGATCTGCGTGCATATTCACAAGTGTGCACACATTTAGAGTGCAAGCAGAAACACAGACACACACACACATTCAGAGAAGCTTATGAGTTGTGCACCTCAATACCAGCCGCAGTATAGCCCATCTGTGAAAAGGTAAATTGAATTTTACAGGCACAAAGCCGACTCCCCTGCGGTCTTTAGAAAAAAAGCCCCACTTTGTGAGTCTAAAGCTTTTCTAAAGCTCTCGTCTCTTCATAGCTTTTTTTTCCCCTTCCCTTTTCTTCTCCTCCCTCTCCGTCTCCCGCTCTCTCTCTGTGGGGGAAATGAAGGTGTGAGAAACACTGATCGATATGCTCATTAAAGAGTTGTGTCTTTGGAAGGCTCGCAGACATTCTGCACAGCGCCTCACACAAAGAACAGCGAGGCAAACACTGCACTGAAAAAGCCCGGCGATATCGCCACAACACCATCAAAAACTGAACGGCACCACTTTTCACCATCACAAAGAGCTAACGCTGAGTGAAAACACACCGTGCCTTTTACTCCTGCTTCCTCCATGTCTCAACTTTTCCTGCCTCTTTGCTTGGTTGATGCACCTTTATTCTGCTTGTGCAGAGGATTTTCCAATCTGTCCATGTCTCTATTATTAGAAGCTTCCATACATAGCCTGTGATTCTGTATTGAGTTAACACAAACAGCAATGCAGCAAGTCACTCTGCCCACACAATTAACCCCCACACACACCGAGGTACCGAGAAAAACGCAGTTTAGATATGTTTAAACCTAATTAACAACAGCACCTCCGCCTCCACTTCTCTGCTGCCTCTGTGTGTGTGTGTGTGTGTGTGTGTATGAGTGTAAGTGTGGCAGGCAGGTGGGATAGACACTGACAGGTGGAATAAAATTGCTTGTGCGAGGTATCCATCTGTGCAGTATCCACCATATGCATTTCAAAAACTCTGCAGGCTTCTTTGCCAAGTGATGGAGAGAGATTGACACTGTTCCATCTGCCAGCACAGGATCTATATTTGAGATACGTATACGGATGAAACAGGACAGGAGGGAGTATTACAGTGTTCCACTTAGTGTGATGAGCTGTTTGGCTAAATTTCCCTTTGGAAGAGGACAAAAATAGCTTTGGAGTCAAACATGGTGCAGGAATCCGTTAAAGGGATATTCCAATGTAAATGTGAGTTATAGTCAACCACACCGTAACACCGAGTTAGACACCCCCCTCAAGAGATTAATGTTTCCGACTGCTTGCCTCTCTAGTTATACCAACTTCAGTGATGACCGCACGATAGCAATACACAACAGTCTACATCTCCACATGCAAACTTCAACCAAAAAGCCAACCTATAGCCACAAATAATGTTCAGAACAGCATCATATATGGTCCCAGCCACCAAACATCTTTTTATCTTTGCCTGGTTTCTTTAGCAAAGAGACCAAACACAACTCACCCACTCTCCTCCAGCAGCTGCTTGTTTGTTGGGGAGCCCTGACGAGCCGATCACTGAGTGCAGCGGAGTTTCGCAGCTCAAGGAAGAAAATTTATGATTATTACTTCGTGGAAATGCAATTAGGCCAAGATGCTAAGGCAGAAGAACCTCAGTATCTGCAGTGCAAAATGATAATTATGATAATTATTACTTCATGGAAATAATCTGCTGCACTCAGGGATCGACTCATCAGGGCTCCCCCACTAACAAGCAGCTGCTGGAGGAGAGTAGGTGAGTTGTGTTTAGTCTCTTCGCTAAAGAAATCAGGCAAAACTAAAAAGATGTTCGATGGCTGGGACCCTATATGGTGCTGTTCTGAACATTATTTGTGGCTATAGAGTGGCGTTTTGGTTGAGGTTTGTTGCTTGGAGACGTAGACCGCTGTGTATTGCTGTGTCGTTACTAAAGTTGGTATAACTAAAGAAGCAAGCAGTCGGCAACATTCATCTCTCGAGGGGTTGTCTAACTCAGTGTTACCGTGTGTTTGACCCTAACTTAATTTTACGCCTGAATATTGCCTCAAGGAATAGCATTAAGTAGCTTACTTACAGTGGATTTAGAAAGTTAGTTAGAAAAGCACCGCTAACTTTGGTCAACATTGTTTAGTAAGAAAAGTATGACAAAGGAAATGTTAAAGGGTGGTTAAACAGTTTTAGGAAATAAGTTTTAAATATTGGTTCTGGATCAGATCCTTTACATTGTTATAACGGTTTGTTAACTCAGCCACTCCTTTCAGCAGCTAAGCCAGTCAGGTACCATCAGCATAATCACTGTGTAGATCATCTAGAAAGCACGTTGAACTTAAGAAGATTACAAAATCCTCTTGCAGGTGCTACAAAAATCTCACCAATGGAAAAGTTATATCCCATTTAATCAGCTCTAAAGACTTTGTAGTGCTTTCTGTTCAGGCGTCACAATGCGTCACTGTTTCTGATGCAATCGTTACCTCTCCCTGTTCAGTGAAATGCTACTATTTTTTTCTTATTCTTGTCTTCAACAAATTGATAGTATACACTGAAGGCCAAAGCTCATTCAATATTGAAATGTTTTATTGATGTTAACTGAAGACAAGGTGACCAGCAGTAGAAAAATGGATGACAAGTCGCTACAATACCAGTGCTTCACCTTACAATTAATACAACCACAATGATGACAATTTTACAACACTTATAGAAAACACAATAGGTACTTACAGTCAATTTTAAGAAAGTTGAGACAAGGCAGAAATTACACGACTTTACATAGTTTACAGGTAAATGTTACTGACTAACTTTCATGTCTTCATCAGCTCTGACAAAAGTCAAAGGGGAAGCCTCGAACTCAACAGATACCAACCTTCTTCTTCTTCTTCTTCTGATTCTGCAATACTTCGGTAATTGTCAGTACCAGTAGAGAGATAAAAGGTTTAGGAAATAATGCCGGCTGTTTTAAGCTAACCAGATGATGTATTTTCATTTAAACGAGGCAAAAACAGTGTTCAATTATAAGAAACATCCCTTCCTTTTTATGCAGCTGTCTGAGAGCATTACTGTTGCTCTGCCCTTCGTCACATGTTAATCTCATCTGCACAGTCCCCTTTAGTTTGTGGTCCTTAGTACGTCCCTTTAAAAAATTGAATGAATTGAGCAGGATCATTCCCCCGGCCTGTGATACTAGGCCACCTGCCAGGAAAAGGGGCTCATTTCAAAATGGTTTGGCTCTTTTAAAACTCTGAATCCACTCCATAGTTCTGCACATTAACTGGACTGGATAATATGGACAACTTGGCTCCGCCTTCCGTCGTTATACTGATTTGAAGCTGAATTGCTCTCAGTATTTCTGGGATTTTCTCCACTTCCCGGAACCACTACTTGCGCAGTAGCGTTGTACGCATTCGGTGGGAGAGTCGCAGAGAGTCGCTGTGATGACACTCGGCTCAAATCTAGGTACGGCCATAGGCTGTATCAAGTGTCAATCATAGAAAACATGAACCCCCTAATAACTTTTAAAAATGGAGCTGTAGAGAAAATAGAGGACTTGAGCACAAACCAGTCTTACAGTAACTACATGTCAACATCGCAACCAGGGGGGAGAAAACTTTATATCTGTGTAAGAAATTTCTAAAGTTTGTCCACAGCTGGAGGAGGCGGGATTTATGATCTATACTGCAGCCCGTCACCAGAGGGTGCTGTCCTCGCTGTGGCTTCACCCAGCGAGGAGGCAGACAATGTCCATTCTATATACAGTCTACGGTTTTGCAGTGTTGGTGAGCATGTTGTACAAAGACAGGACCTTCATTCAAGAAGGTCACCGACTGTCAGTCTGACGCCTGAAGGTACATGGCACATTTTGAGTTTTAAATACAAAACACTGATGTGCATACAGAAGATGTTAAGTGCATTTGCATTTGCCCTCTTAAACCCACAGATGATGGAAACTTTTTAAAACATAAGTACTGAACATGATCCAGAGACTGACGACAAGAATTGAACATAACCATGCCTCTCACAGGGTACAGCGGCGGATCATTGCTTAATTCTTGGGTGTGTTGATACGTTGGGATGAAGAGTTGGAGGAGTTCTCCATTTTTGCCTCTGGTTCCCATAGTTAGACCAGCCTGCTCTGGTTGCCTGGGTTACTGTCTCCCTTGTGGATGGTCAGCTCGCTGTTGCTATGCTAATGAGAGAATATCAAAGCCACGAGCCACAGCGGCTGCCTCCAAAGCGCGCATGTGCTTGTACATGCGTGTGTGTTATTTACCGAGCGACACCACAGGGTCACAAAATGGCCCGAGCTTGTAACTTGAAATGTCATGCCAATTAAGAATTTGTGAAATTAAGCAGGGGTTATCAAACTTAGCATCCCATTCATTAGGCATGGAGCTGCTCCTAATGGGATTTCTCTCTCTCTCTCTCTCAATGCAGTCTTCTCCCCCAACTCTCCTCTCACCTCCTCTTCTTACTCTCCTTTACTTGCTCCCATTTCATTATTTACATTCCCATATCCCCTTTTTTTGGCCTAGTTTATCAGAGAGGGAGGATGGGAGAAATAGAGAGAGAGGGAGCGAGGATGGGGTGGGGCGGGGGGACACGGGATCTGCATCATTCTCACATCCTCGTAGTAATGCATCTTTATTAGGCTCCGACATCAGCCCAGGAGACGGCTCTCTGCTATCACTGTCAATTAGCAGGGGAGCCGCTCGGGAAACGGCTTGCTTCTCTTTATTAATATCTCCAAACAAGCACACACACTCAGACGTATAGAAAGATGATCTCTCTTTATTAAAACACACACTCAGAGCAGCAGTGCAAACCATACATGAGAATGTCATCAGGCGGTAGAGGAAGGTGCAGATGCAGAGCTTAAGTTTCATTTACTAGGAGAATTAAAAAAAGAGGGAGGGAGAGTCTGAGGGGTGCTTTGCTTTATTCAACACAGGGACAGATATTACATTATCATTTCATCATGGCTTTCTGGCAATATGGCTTTTTCAATCAGCGGATACAGACATTATTTATTCATAGATGCATTTTTAAAAGGCACACAAGATACAGCATAGCCAGTCTCCACAGAGTTGACACAATCAAATATATATGAATATAATATTAGTGTGAGATGGGGGCGGAGTGGGGGTTGGATAAATGAAACTTTATTCATGTGGAGAACAAGAGGAAAAGAAAAAAGGGATGAAAGTGGAGGACAAACACGACCACGCATTTATCCTTCCACTCGCGGCTTCACCGGGATCTCGATTCAGTTTGTCCGACGCCGCTTCTGCTGTCACTTTGTCTTAGTCTGAGTGAAGCTGTAGTGCTGGTGTCAATTGTATATGTCTGTCTCTGTGTGTGTCTGTCTGTGTGTGTGTGTGTGGTCTGGCAGTATATCCTTGCTTTAAGGCAAGTGTCTCTTTAATGAGGCTTTGCTGCAAAAGGAGCTCCCTAGGACTCTTGACGTGCTCTGCATTTCAAACACACACTCTCCTGCAGCATGCAGACCTCTGGCACATCCTTTCCTTCATCACTCTAACACACACACACACACACACAAATTGCCTCACAGGTTGTGCGATTGTGTGTATTTGAGTGTGTTCCCCGCTGTGCCAAAGAATTGATTGGTGGGTTTCCTGAACAGAGTGAGGGCTTGTCAATGAGAGACAACCTTTCTGATGCAGTGTATCTGTCTTCCTCTCGCTCGCTCACTCGTTCTCCCCCTCTCTCTCCTTCTTTCTCCTTCCTCCGTCTCCATCTCCCACTGCGATACTCTCTGACCTCATGTTTATGTATCTCACTATGTCGAGCTGTTCATCAATGCTACCGTCAAAGGTCCAACCTCTGTTCTCCGTTTTTCTCTCTGCTCGGCTCGCTCCCTTGCCGCAAAGGCTGGCAGATATGAATAATACAAAAAAAAAAAACAACAACTTGGAAGTAAAAGGAGATTGCATTTCACAAATTCAACTAAAGAGCTGTTTGGAGAATTTGCAAGACTCAAACTTAAATCTTGAACCTGCAAGGGAAAGCTTCGTCTAAAGGGTGCTGGAAAGAGCTCAAAGGTTTTGGCAGCTTTGGCCACATACTAGATCGAAGGTGGAGGTTTTTTCTCGGTTTAGACAGCTTCAGCGGCTCGATAAATGTAAGGAATGAGCTCAAACATGACAAGTGCATTTGTAGTTGAAGCAGGAAGGCTCACTTGTTTTCAGTTTCAAAGCCTCGGCAGGCCTGTTTTCACTTATACAGAGCCCTGATGAACTAACATTTCAAGAACTGACTCAAGATGCTAGAGGGACAAGTGCGGTCTTTCAGAGAGCGTGTGTTTGTGTGATACCGCGCTTCATTGTTTTTCAAGGAGAATGAAGTGTTCACGAGCGGAGCAGCTCATTAGTGGCCCCGCTGAATTGCTCTTAATGAATGCTATCAGCCTCTAATGAAAAGTATTGTTCTTGAGCACAACTAAATCAAAAGGTGTTTAAAGCGCGCGCTCGCCGCCAGAAGCCCACAAACGCACTTCATCAATGAACGTTTGGCGAAGAGGTCTCTGATGGCCACACAGCGCTATGGTTACAGGGGCTAACAACCCCACGAGAAATCAAACTCTCATTTAGACCACAGCCACTGCTCAATACCCGCTCTGTTATCGACCAGCACCGATGTGTGTGTGTGTGGATGAGTTAGTGTGAAAGAGCAGGAGGTGGGGCAGGATGAGGAGAAAAGACTGAGGGGAAAAAACAGGAGGAAATTGATTCACTCCCTCCTCACACACACCCCCCATCCCCTTGATGGTGGTTATTTGGCATCAGATATGTGGGTCTCCTGACCTGTTTACAGCCCCTGGTCAATTAGAAAAGTTTTTCTCTGGTCGGATAAAACACAAAGCCTCCCTTCCTCTCCATTATGAACAAACAAGAGTTATAAACAGCAGCAGTGGCTGAAAGTGAAGTGTGTACGCTCAGATAGCCCGGAGCACTCGCTGAGAGTTATGGGAGTTTGTGTTAAAGTTGATGAGAAAAATATTACATCCATCTCAATGTGCGCATCTTTTAACCTTCAGCCCACAAACTCTGAAGTCCACAGGAGATTTTCAGCCTCTCAACTTGACATAAATTGGATACTCTGCTGGCACAGTGTCTGCTGACTCTGCTGCTGGTTTAAAATGTTCTTATTGCCATTATAAAATTCTGACAATTAAAACCATAAAGCAAAGACTGCTCCAACACCCAAACTGTGGCATTAACGGTGACTGTTTCCAGGAATCACAGCGACAATGTCTAGACAAATTGCACCATGGCCTGTTTATGGTGATGTCAGCGAACCAAAGCTCCAATGCTGCTCTGCTGTAAAAGTCATAGACATGGAACCTGGTGTTGTCAGACCCAACAGACGTTTCGTAAGCAGGTGGGTCTGGAATTGCTGACACGCTCAATGGTTTCCCATCTGTGTCAGAAAAAACAGACCAATTAGATTTTACTATTAAAAATTTGGTTGGGTTCTACAAGTTGAACATGCAGGAAGGCCTTTTTAGTGTTACTGAGTGTTACAGTCACTCATATAGTGTGCTAACCTGGGCTAACATTAGCGTGAGCTAGTTTACCAGAGACGAAAGTTCTGTTACTACATCGCTAATGAAGATTAAAAAAATGTAGGTAAAGTTAGTAGATTTAAAGCTTTGTTGACATAGACCCCTTTGTTGATCTTCTGGACCAGTGGTGGACTGGACCATCGGGGCATTGCCTGGCCTGCCACCAAATTGTGTGCGTGTGTGTGCCAGCAGGTAGGCCACTGAACTTGGAAGCAGGCCAGCAGCAAGGGTTTAATTAATTAATTTATGTCCGTTGCCTTGGCAACACGTTGCTGGTGCTAAAGTAGGAAGTAGAGCTGTGAGGTGATCGGCCGTGGATGCGCTGATTGAGCATCGTTGTCTGCTCCGCTCCCGAGCTGATGGTTTTTCTTTCTCTTCCTCCCCCTGAGGCAACATCTTTAAGTGTTTTTCATGCTGTTGCTCTAAGATCTGATTGTTTTGAGTTTGATAAGGTCGCTGACCGACACCGAGATGGCTACGATGCTGGTGGTGCTAATCCAAGTTTTATGCCTCTCGAGAACTTTGACTTTTTCTGACAGGCTTTCAACATTTATCATAATACAACAGCAATGTGGAAGGCTACACTCTTAGTTTAAATGAGTAAACAAATAGTTAAAGGCATGTAGCCAATGTTGAATTCTTCACATTAGAATTATATTCACTAAATCTGGCTTCAAATGTCCAAAACTTTTCGCCGGTGCTGGCATTTAAGTGTCAATGTGTATTGGCCTGGCCTGGATGGAGTTAAACTCCTGGCCTGAATTTTGGTCCCAGTCTGCCCCTGTTCTGGACGTTAAGTTGGCTGTGAGGTCTGCCACACAACTTCATCCATAGCAGACATTCACTTTGGTCTTTCTTTGGTCTTGGAAATGGAATGAAATACACCCCATTGCCCATCCTGTTGGGCTACCTTGTGTCGGTATTACATCTACCCCATGCACACCTTTTTTACCATGTTTCTTTCTGTTCTATTAAAATTAACGCCATAAAACAGATAAAGAATTACGACTTCTAATGCTTCTCTACAGATATCCGAGTTAACAGCCATTACACATGAACTGAAAATACTTTTCCAGATACACGATGACTGCATTGTTGGAGGGAGAAGCAGATTCATCCTTAGTGTTATTTGTATTCGCTCTGTCTACTCAAGAAATGCAGGTGTGAAAAACCAGCAGGAATAAAACTACAAGGAGAAACAAGCTACACAATCCACTTAGATTTCTGTGTGTTTGCTGACTCACAGGGTGGGTGAATAGATCTTTACCCACTGACAGCTTCTAGTTGAGGGCACACATACCGCATATGCAAAGTCCATGTGACACAGAAAGCTGTGCCATCTAAAAATCACCTGTAGTCTTCCAGAAAAGGAGAGTGTGCCTTTTTTGCTGCCTGTATGTGATTCAGGCAGCAAACGTCTCTTGTAAAACTTGAGTATGAATTTGTCCTGAGGAATGATGGTTGAACCTCTCCATCACCTGCGCTGACACCACCTTCACAGAGTCTTTTGGTACTGAGGTCTTAAATTTCCATCAGTTATGTCTCGCTGCCATTTGGGCCTGTCACCATGTTAAATTGCCAGGTACGGCTTTAACAGCAATTTATAAATAAATTCTACCCGACTTAATTTCATCACTCCTCAGGCATCGACCTCCACTCTCGAGGGTGTCAGAATTGCTTTTCCATCACGAACAGAGTATTTGGGGTTGGCAGGAGAACACAAACTGAGATAGGATTTGTTGGGTGGGGGGGTGAGTGTTGGTAATGAACATGGCGCAGACCCGAGGTTGGCACAGCGGGCTGCAATCTAATCATTGCTGCACCTTATTTTCATCCAGACGTGGGGGAGAATTATCCATTTAAAGCCGTCAGTTTTATCTCCCAATCACACAGCTTAGATCTGCACCACGGACACTTTGTTAAGCACCTAGATGTGTCCAATCAGCCGGCGTAGGAGGCCTGTCAGCGTGAGTTTGCACATGAGTGTGATTGAATGTGTACGGGTGCTTTCAGTTGGTTAAAGCTCTCTAATCAGTGGCGTTTGAGTGCGCGCGGGCGGCTCGTATTGCCATGTGATGTCCTTAGACTGGCACAAATTGGCAATCAGGTGAGGTTGGCATGGGCGAGGGTCTCTCCTCTCCGGGATCCTGACTCCAATTGGCCCTTTCTCTCCTTTTCCATCCTCTCATCTCTCTCCTCTTCCATCACCAGAGCGGTTTTAACTTGACCCGGACAGGTGCTCCTGACAAAACCCATTACAGTCTCAATTACGCTATATACCTCCCTCTGCTTCCTTTTCGGCAGTTTTTTTCCCCTCTTCTGTCTGCTTTCCTCTCCGTTGTTTCCTCCTCTGATGCTCAGGGACTGGTGGGCGCTCTGAGCGGTCTGCGTTGGTGCTTCCCTCCAGACTCTATTGCCGGTCTATCAATGCCTTGCTTCTCGGTTCAACTAATTAGCCTTGGTGGGACCATCACCATCCTCCTCATTACAAAAACAGAACAGATGTGGGTGAGGGAAGGAGAGGGGAATGGAAGGACAACAGACTAATGCACAGGAGGACATGCTGGAGGGGAAAAGAGCTGCAACAGTGCCAGAGTTGAGGGTTTCATTCCCTAAAGGACAGTGCCAGGACAGACATGATTTTAATTGCTTGTAAAGGTGTTCGATGTTGGCAGACAGGAACTCCTTCAATGCCACAACAAAGTACTCTCAGAGGAAGATGATGATGAAGAGATCAAGCCTGAGACTAATTGTAATCAAACTCGCACTTTTAAGCTGGTAGAACTCATGATTAATTATACTTTTAAAATGTGATAATGGTAAAAGGCACACAGATGCAATGTCATGAAATACTGGTGTCTGGGTAGAATCAAACTGGGGATGTTGCAGCTGTATTGCATATCTTAAAACAACAACCATGGGATTAGTTTCTTTTTTTTCTTCTCAAAACTATGAGGCGCTAACTACAATGCACTCTTTTAAGATAAGAGATCCCAGCAAGATTGATATCAGCAACCTGGAGCAATTTGTTCTTTTTTTGGCAATAACTTCTTTTCTCAAACAAGTTATAAATGTAGGACAATTCACCCTGGAATTCATTTTGACATGTTTACAAATCAAAATAACACCCACCCACTGAGGAGGCCCTGAGCGCTCCAGGATGTTGCTCCTCTTTTTGAAACGTGAGACTGACACTGGCACTGACTTGTTTGGATTCCTTCCACTGCTTTCACTAATCCTTATCATATGTCATCAATTTTTCTGATGAAACCATTTTCATGAACCGTGCCCTGTTTGCTTCCTTTGTTTTTACACAGACGGTACATTTTTTCCTTAAAGTACTTTTGTGTTGCAAAGCTGCCCAAACCACACACCACAGTCTTCTCTTCCCACTGCACAGCCTAACAAAGGCCATTCATGGACTCTAACATACAAATTGACTTTAGCCAGTTAACCAACTTATTCATGGGTGGACTTAAAGCAGTGAGCATATTTGTAGGATGCTACTCACAAATGTACAGATGTTATGTGGAAAATGAGGGAGCGTGGCTGTAACCACTCTGCCGGGCAACGTTGCACAAAGGCCAAGAAACTCCAACAGCAGAGTATAAAGGCGCAACCAGCCAGATCAGCTCGGGGCCCAGCACCTGTTGAAGACGCCACACAACGGCAAGTCCACTTCGACAAATTACATTGCACTGGTCAAATTTCCTCAGTTAAAAGCCCCTAGTGGTTTTCTTTATTTCCATTTGTTCATTTAATTGACCTCAAAATGTTCTCCTCATATAATACAGAGAATTACAACTTACTGTACTGTAATTTTTAGATGGCTTTAATTGTATATGTTAACTTTTCTAAAGGAAAAAGAAAAAAAATTAGCAGGATCTCCGTTTTTCAATAGTCTGACTGTCGTAAGTCCCCTTTGATAAGTAGCAATAGATTGCTTCGTAAAAATTCGTCCATGTTTTCTCCAAAGAACTACATTCCCATGAAACCTAATCCGGCGAAAATCACTTCTGTAATGTACAGAGCAACCACAATCTATGACGTCATCTGAACCAACTTCAGCCAATCATATAGCGTAATGTCATCAATAGGCGCCAGACCCTGAGCAGATCTGGCGACCCCAATCACATCTGGTACCTACACCAGCAAAAGTGAAAATTGTGATTGAGATTTTTAGTTTTTTCTAAGGATGCTGACACCATTATTGAGACTCCTTAATAACCTGAGTCCCTATCAAAACCACCATTGAGTCTTTTCTGTCATTGTTTTCCTTCAAACGGGTTTATTTGTGCAGATTTTTCAACCAAAACTACTTTTTCTTTTTCTGAACCTGACATTTGAACAGATCATGACAAGGTATCATTTACTTTGGTCTAATTCTAATTTTACGAACTCTGACCCTGAACACCTCACAGTGTAATTACGTTGCTGCTTTCCAGTTTACCTCAGAAGTTGGAGCTGGGAATGACGTCACACCAAGTTATCAGCATCTCAGTTACAAAGTCGGAATAAAGTAGCCAATGGCAGAAAACGGAAGCGGAAACAAGATGGCTACATCTATGAAAGTTATTCTCGCGCTTGCCTCATCCGAATATAGACAACTTCTAGACAAATATGCAGTCCTTCTGCAACCTGCAAACATGGGTGGATGAAGAGGACACACAAAGGCGCAGAAGGTAGCCTGTTTTTTCTCATTACAGGAGCTTCTACTTACTGTTTACAACTGGCGCCGCCATCTTTAAATGTCAACTCAGGGGGTTGTGTCGATCATCTGACATTCTGAGTCGGAAAACTGATGGCCGTTCCAGTTGAACGTACTCGGAAATCCCGACTTCCGATTACGACTGGAACGCACCATTATCAGTCACCTCCATTAGTTAGCTTGTTAGCTTGGATCAGGATTTGAAACTACAGGACTTGCTCTAAAGGTTTGGCTGTGCTGACCCTTCAGCTTTGGTATTATGTAGACTCACTTTGGATCTCCTCACTGGACCTGACCTGATTTCTTCTCCTTCATAACTGTTCGCTGCTCCAACACTTTGTTAGACAGTCTATTAACATGTGTGATTCAATTAAGATGATGCGGTCGAGGTGAAAGTATGACTTTACTCCATGGGTCCTTTGAGACTGATAAGCTCAAATGTTGCTGGGAAGCTGAGAAAGAGAGTGTGTATTTACATCTTAAGATAAACTGTCTAGAAATTTGATGTTTCTGAAAATGTTGAACTTCCTTTAAACTCTGAACAGCCCCCCTGTGATCCTTGATTTTGTACCTTTCTGAGCTCTTTCATAACATTAATTTATGCATGCACTCATTATACAGGAAAGGGCTTTGGATAGAACAGCATACATTAATATAATAATATTAACCAACCCAGATGTGGTCGTGTCTCTTTGCTCTCACCATCTTTTCTCAGAGAGGGGGAGGGCAGCGAGCTGTTGAAGGAGACGAGTGAGAGGTGTGGGGAGGAGCGAGTGATGAATCTCCCCGTCTCTAAACTCTCCGCTTCATCGGCTCTTCCCTCGTTTCTGACCCAAATCTAATGCGACAGGACTCGTTTTCACTGCCCCCACCCACCCACACGCACACACCTCCTCACACCTCTCCTCCTTCGCCGCCGTTGCAGTCGCTGTGCACCACCCCTCTATTTTTAGCTGTTTGTCCTTGAGCTACAATCCCTGAAAATTTCCATGATCCATAAAGGACTGGGGCTGTGGTGCTTGTGAGAAAACACTCGCACCCACCCCCTGCCGAGAGCATCCTCCCCTCGGCCCACTCACTCCGCACGTGTGTGTGTGTGTGTGTGTGTGTGTGTGCAAGTATGAGCAACAGATCGTTCACAATTTCAAGTCTTTCGCCATTACTGGAGCGAATATTCCTCTCATTAAAGAGGTGAAATGGAGGGAGCGTTAAACGAGTGAAATGCCGACAGATTGGGCCGTTCTTTCTCTGCCCCCCCAGCACACACACACACACACACACAGACACACACACACTCATACGTTCACACTCATCCCCTGCCTCAGAAAGTTATCCACTGTAGCCAATTAGCATGACTGCTCTGTCTAGCATTACCCCCCTCTTCCATATCCAAATCTCACTCTCATTACCGTCTTTTCCTCTCTTCCTCCACTATCCTCCTCCAGCCCCTCTTCTCATTCTCTCTCTTTCTCATTAGAGCTGCGTCGTAACACACTGAATCATAATAGGTGCTCTACACTGTGAAATGGCTTTAGCTTTGTCTCATTTCGCCGCTTGTAGCAGCAGAATGAGTAAACAGACAATCTATTCCACCCAGGCACAGACACACACCGACAGACACAATCAGAGACGTCCATTAATCTGTCGTAAAGCAGCTTTTGGCCCGCCTGAAGAAATCCCTGATATTCGGTGTCAGAGAAACAGAGAGTGGGGGCTAATCTACGGGGGGCTGCAATGCAAGGCTGTGTCCCGTCCACTGATAACAAACAGGCGAGCCAGACGGAGAAAAGAGTCTACGGGGAGGTGTGAAAGGAGGAGAAATGGCAGAAGGAGAAGGGGGGAATGAGGTGGAAGAGGCCAAAAGGTAGATGGAGAGGAGCAAGAGGATGGATGAAGGGCAGGAGCAAAGTGCGGCAGGGGAGGAGGAGGGGGGGGCGGGGGGCGGGACGGCGGCGGCGGCACCGATGCGTATTCTAAGCCCTGAATGTAAATATGCGTGAGGGGATTATCACAGAGTGCCAGGCGGCGCTTTTGGGGCTTTGTTTCCGTGACACCATGACGTTGGCTTTGTTTCCCTGACAGCAGACGTGTGTGTATGTGTGTGTCATTGTGTGTGTCATTGTGTGTGTTTGTGTGTGACATCCAGGCATCTGTTTCCTGCTGGAAAAGGTTAATTACATCTCCACTGCCTGACTGGACGTGCCATGCATAATCACACGCGCTAATGAGAGGAGCATATGTGTGTGTGTGTGTGTGTGTGAGTGTGGGTTTAGAAAAAGTCGCTCCGGAGCCGCTGAATAGATATCTTCACCACTTGTTTCACTTTTGAAAGTCTTTTGTTGTAGCGAAGAAGAAACAGACACACTCTCAGAGTCAGACACTCACACAGGTGACAGCTGGAGGCGCACCGCACCGCAGTGGCATTTACGGACAGACACTCCACTCCCACAGGAGGACATTAATGGATGGGCCTGCATTAGTGTGAGTGTGTGTTTGTAATTACTTTTCTGCCTAATAATGAGACGGTGATGCTACGGCATCAGAGGAGGGACTTCTCACAAACCCTGTTGCTCACTCTGACCCTTGACTCCTATCTTCACACTCCAGCTAAGCTGCTGATTGGACAGCTGCTCGGCTTTAGATTGGGCCCAGCTCAGCGTGAAAAACGAGATGGGCTCCAGCCCTCCATGGGTGACTTTGGAAATTACTGTACACCTTCTCACTCAGCTGAAGTTCTCACTAAGTTGATCTGACATAAGCAGGTAGTTGAGGAGCTGCAGAGCTCTGCTGGGCCTCGGTTCCAATTTAGCCTCTGTGGAGTCGCGAATAAGGAGGAGAACAGAGAGACGTGGTATCACTGAGAGGTGTGAATGGAAGAATAATGGATTTCTGGGGCCTGTTTTCACTTCACTCCTGATTCAGAACAGCAGCTATGGCAAAACATGAGTCAAACAGATCGGAAAATGTGCTTTTGGAATCAGATCAGCAGAAGCTAAAATCTCCATGAGATCCCGAGGGTAAATTAGGGGATGGGTAACAGGGATGGGCTCAGGGTTCACAAGCTTTTACTTTCAACGGCTTGAATGATCTGGAGGAATATGGCTCTAGACAGCAAAGTGGTTGTTGGGTTTGAGCAGTTTCAAAAGTAGAAAAGGTGTTTAACCTGAAACCTCAGCCAGTCAGTATGTTTACATGCAGTTAAGTTGAGCCATGTTTGGACCACACTCCTCGTCCCGCTTGACAATCTCCGGACAAGAATCGAATTGTTGACGGGAGCATTGGGGGGTTTGTAGACAGGCTGGGGATGCATATTATTCTGGTATTATTCTGGTAAGAAAACCATTCTAAAGTTCACTTTGCATAATATGGGACCTTTAACTATGTTGGTCCAACTATGAGAAGTTTGATTTACTGCAATCTTAGTCGGACCAACGTGTTAACATGTCCTTTTATAATCTCATTTCACTTGGACTAATGCAGTAAGCTGATCATTTGAACAACATGTAAACATACTGACTGAAATATTGAGTAAAAATTGCAAAGATCCGTTGATTATGGCTTTGAATAATAGCTTGTGTATGCTAAAGCCCCTTTTTCATCTCTGCTTTGGCATCTATACATGACATCAGACAGTCAGTGCTGAGCAGCAGTAACCTGGGATTTACATTCCAGACTGTAAAAAGAGAAAACCCTGATCAGGTGAGACAGAGTCAAACTTGGGTCTCCTGGTCCCTCCATTGTTCTTCCTCTTCACTCTCCTCTTCCTCCACTTGCTCTTTTTTCTTCTTCTTCCGTCTTCTGCAGAAGCCGTTCAGGCCACAGAAGCAGGCACATGTGAAGGGCATGGTCTATTTGAAGCACCGCATCCACCAACACCTGCAGAGGGAGAGAAGAGGAGGAAGAGAAAGAGTGAGAGGAGGGATGGGCGAGAGGAACAGAGGCGTTAAAACGAATCTCCTTCATCTGGAAATCTGCCGAGATATCACACACCGCTCGTGAGGAGTTTTCTCCCAACGAGTCTTTTGAACACGCATGAATCTGGAATCAAAGAGGGAGAAGAAAGAGGTTTTCATTTGTTTGAATGCAAATTAAGGCAGAGTGGGTTTGAAGGTAAAGTGAGTTTACTCATTACTGAGGTTTTCGCAACTATGAAGAAGTGATTTTGCCTTACTTGGCTTCATTTGAATTGCCTATGGGACTTGCCTTAAGTATAAAATATAATTAAGTGTGCAGAAGTTGCATTTTTACACTGGATGGTGAGTGCTTCCAGCTAAAACGCCTCCAAGGACTGAGCATGCGGCAGCTTTAAGGACTGATTTCATTCTAACCCCCAATTTTTACTCCATCCGGAACGGCTTCGCTTCAGAACAGCGCCAATTTTCGCCATCTGCCAATTCCTACCAGATCCGTTTGTAAGGCGAATTTGGTGGTGGATTTCAGACAGCGGGAATCTCAAGAACTCACAAGAACCCGTGGATTCACATGCAATCGTGCGATAATGAGTTGTCTCTATAAACATAGCCATATAACCATAAAAGCAATAGATTGTGTCCTTCCAGAGGAGGAAATCCACTACTAGACTTCTAGAATCAGCATCTCCTCATCCATGGTGTCAACGGGGTGAAATGATGTCTGAGAACTTTTGACTTGTTCATCCCCGCCTACATTTGTATGGTGTGAAATAAGATCTTCTTGCAACATGTAGTGTTTTATTTTGAAAAGAAGCAGGATGTTTTATTTTGTATCTATGCCAAACTTCCTTTCCAGCACGGGCTAATCTGTGCTGAATTTATGCAGCTTGCTGCGCCGTCCGGAAAAAAATAGAACCCTGGCAATTGGCTGCAAACCCCGCTGAACAGCAGGACGGAAGGAAGCCGGTGGAAATTGACACATCAACTTGAATGGAAACACAATCCAGTTGTGATTGGTGCAGACGTCCCTTTCGCCGCCATTCCAGATGTGGTGGAAATTGAGGGTTGGTGTGATATTTACTTATTAGACAGAACCACGCCGGCCCCCAATCTCAGACAACCCATATTTAGAATGATGTACTTTAACCAAGAGGTTACTCAATGTCTTTTATTGTATGAAAATTTTTGCTCTATTTTTTAATTTATTTTTGTCTGCTGATGGATATTTCTCCTGGGAAAAGAGTTTAATCAAGAAAAGAACCTCTTTTGTTTCTTTCATTGAGTCAGAGTAAATCTGGACAACAACATCCAATACCAGAGGACATTAGGAGGTGTTATCGTGGTTGCCGTGCTGGTGTAAAGGTGAAGGCAGTGTTGAAGGCTAGGAGGTGGAGATTCCTTTCTTCCATCAGCATCATGGGAAAAGTCAACTCTCTGCTCAACAAAAGTGATGAGCTGGAGGTACTAGTGATAACTCAGGAAGCTTACTAGGAGTGCAGTCTCCTGTGTTTTACTAAAATAGGGGGACCATACGTCCTCTTTTCCCCAGACATGTCCTCTCTTTGGGGGGCTGTCTGACTTGTCCGGCCTTGTCCAGGGGAATTTATAAAATCCTTCAAATGTCCGGGGTTTTGCATGGAAGTTTTGAGTTTATGTCGCGCGGACTTACTGAGTTAGAGGCGTGTAAAAAACACTCAACCCAATCCGAAAAACTCCCCAAATTTACTACGTGTGTTTCTGTGACTCCGCCCCCCATGTAGTCGTGTCCTCTTTTTGGGGGATTCAGAATATAGTCACCCTAACTAAAACCTGGTTGAATCAAAACAACTCCAACTCCAGTGTGGATCTACCTGGCTTCACTCTCATAAGGTCAGACAGAGATGCTCCAGCTAGTGGCAAGAAGAAAGGAGGAGGTCTGGCTTTATTTGTCAACCAGAGATGGTGTAACTCTTCACACATAACTGTCAAGGAGAAGCTTTGTTCTCCAGATATTGACAGTTGCTCTTTGGCCATATTATGTTCTAAGGGAGCTCAGTCATATCATAAAAATACATGTATTCTCCATGATACTGTTGCTAGGATACAGACTCAACATCCTGAGGCAGTTGTAATCATATCAGGAGACTTCAACTGTGTCATCCTGTGTGAGGAGGTCAGATTACCTGGTAAATTATAAACAACCTTTGCCTATCACTTGATCTGAATGGGAACAGAATTGGCAGGGATTACCGTTGAAATTACTGTTGACGCGTGAATGAAGTGAGTTAATACTATTCATTCACGTGTCTGGATTTGTGTGAATTAAGGGAGTAGATGACTTTACTAGCGTTTGGTGTGAGCGCCCCATAAAGATGCTCCTGTAACTGTACAGCGTCAAAAGTGAAGTGTATATTATAGTACATTTTGTTAGTCACAGACCTGCAGTGGAGGCAGAAAACAGGTGTAATCTAAGAAAACTTACAGTGAACAGCTGTTGATATGCCCCTTAAGGTATTTCTGTATGTGAATGTCTCTGTCTCTCACATTTTTTTGTGCTCTCAGCAAAAAACTTAATGCAGAGAAACCGACACACACACACGCACACACACTGCAGTGGGATCAGCTCAGTGGTCGATCAAGCAATGTCACTTAACAGGAATAAAAACTCCTGAACAATTACACTTCTGTTTTTTTTCTCTACACAAGCCTGTTTGCTCCTCAGCCACTGTCTCCTTCCTTCTTGAACACACAAACACACACAAACACACACACACGCACAGCTAAACTCCCAACGTTAACATTTTTCGCTCATGTGCTGGCGGCCAATCAGAAAAGAGCGCTGAGATTAGTAGACGCGGGGTGAAACTGAGAGCTTCATTAAATACCAACCTGAGTCAGCAACACCAGCAGGTCTCGCTGGGGAGTGTGTATCCTGTGTGTGTGTGTGTGTGTGTGTGTGAGTGGAGTGGGCGTAATGCAAGTTGGGGATAGTGGTGACAAAAACCCAGGTGAAGACAAAACATAAAGTGCATGTTTTCGTGAGTGTGTGTGTGTGTGTGTGTGGCTTCAGGGACTGATACATATCAACCTGTCTCATATGGGGGCAATTAGCTGAGCCAGCCCGGTGCTGCCTGCAAGCAGAGACAAAAAGGCCTCAGGCTATGCCGTGTATATGTGTGTGTGAGTGAGTGTACATATATGCTGTTAAACCTCGGTGTGTGTGCTGCTTTCATCCCTCCGGTGTCACTCCCTATATCCATCTAATACTCATCTGCAGATCTCCCACTCTGTACCCAATGGCTTTAGACCCTATGTGACATGCCAGAGAAAATCACATAGGAATAGAAAGCCATAAAACACAGCAGCGAGCCAGTGATTAGAAGAGTAAACTTCTCTCCCCGCGCAGATTCGTGTGTGTCCCTGTGAGTGTGAGTGTGTGTGTGTGTGCAGCCCCCTTACTCCATGCTTCTAACACCTTCAGCTTGCCTGACAGCTTACAAGGCCCTGCAGAGGATTTACAACAGTGCTGAGACACCTCTCTCCACTGTGTATCCTTCTTGTCTGCTCTGTATCCTCCAATCCCTCCCCTCCTGCCCTCCCATCCCTCCTCGTCTCCCTCTCACCCGCTTTCCTTCCTCTTCTTCATCCCAATCTGCTTCTATCACCCCCTTGCTCGCTCACCCTCCATCCCCAACCACGCTGCTGGCCATCAGGAGTTGGTGTCTTGTTTTGGTGGTGTGTAATTACTCGGGGTTCTTTCACAGGCGAGTGCAGAGATGAGACAGATGAAAACACAGCCTGCAGACCCTCTGAATTATTAACTGGCTGAAAATGGATGAGTCAACGTTAACAGAGAGCAGAGAGAGGGAGGCAAAGCAGCCCACGTGCATCTACAAATACACACATAAATGAAAAGCCACAGGCCTGAGAGGAGCGTAGCACCGTGCATGGACCAACCAGGGTGGGATCCAGTGTGGGCAAAGACCAATATCTTTGGTTATATTGGCCGAGGGAAAAAGGGGAGTCATGAAAGTTTAACTTTCACTTATTAAATAATTTATTTCCAGGCGGCGATATGCCCAAGTATTGCCAACACTGAATGGTGTGTTGTCTTATTCTGCTCTATCGAGCTGAGAGACATGCTGTCATTGAACTGTGCTGGGCTTCAGTGGAGGTTTTCAGTCCTCAAAGCAGTGGCTGTTTTTTTTGTGTTAATACCAGTCAGTATTTTAATGTTAACTTTGATGTAGTTAATGTCTGAGTGCTTTTTTTTTGTCCCTTTCTGCACACCTGCTGTCATGATGACAGAAGAAAACAAGCCACTGCAGTTTCAAAGGTTACACTTCACAGTGAATATCTCCTGGATCTGGATCTGGGGATTCCTGGACACCAGTGAGGGAGTTTAATCATCATCGTGATTTGATATTCTTGTATTCAAGTAGAAAGGTTGAAATCCACTTTGTCAACAGTGGTGAGCCTGTCTGCAGTCACACATGACTCCTACAGCGAATGAGAGCAGACACTCTGATTGGTCTGATTCATGTTATGCTTGACAAACACAATAATTAAGGAACTCAATACAACTCTGTGTCTAAGTCAGCACCCAGACTGTTTGCTGCTTAAAAAGGAAAACATAATGGGACCATTTTTTCACTTTGCGCCATTAGCTTTAAACTAATTAGGGCCCTTAAAGTGCATTTTAAACTGTGTGTGAAATGAAGCCGTTTCTGGGTAATCCTTTGCCACCAAACATTGACTTTTCGATCATTGGGTATATTTCTGCCTCATTATATAAATCTTCCCAGTTGATTTTTTAATTGATGAAGTTCCTATTAGGCCGATATTATAAGTAATATTTATACAAAGCAACTTTCTCACATTATTTGTCTGCACCATAGACTGTATATAGAATGGACACTGTCTGCCTCTTCGCTGTGTAAAGCCACCCAGAGAACAGCGCCCTCTGATGATGGGCAACCTCTGGTATAGGTCATAAATCCCGCCTCCTCCAGCAATCCCTATGGAGCTGTGGACAAACTTTAGAATCTTTTTACACGGAATATAATTTTTTCTCCCCCCTGGTTGTGATGTTGACATGTAGTTACTGTAAGACTGGTTTGTGCTCAAGTCCTCTTTTTTCTGTGCAGCTCCATTTTTAAAAGTTATTAGTAGGGGGTTCATGTTTTGTATGATTGACACTTGATACAGCCTATGGGCGCACAAAGTTTGCGTAGCTCACCCAGGGGATAAGTTGTTTGAGCAGAGCATCATCACAGTGGCTCTTTTGCTGAATGCGTACAACGGTACTGCGCAAGTGGTGGTTCCAGGAAGTGGAGAACATTTCGCAAATACCGAGAGCAATTCGGCTTCAAATATGTGTAATGACGGAAGACGGAGCCAAGTTGTCAATAGTATATACAGTCTGTGGTTTGCACCAAGTATGAACACCCAGGCATTTGATTTTTAATGTTATTATCAAAATGTTGCAGTTTTGTTTTGCTTTGTCCTTGAACCTTCAAAACTTTAGTCCGTTATCTTTCGTAATTTGCACAATGGTCTTTTATATTACTGGATGACAAATAATGTCACCATTTCATAATTATAAAAAGATAAGGGTGTGTATGATCACACCTGTGGGCTTCTGCACAGGAACAGAGCTAATAAAATGTATGACGTAGGTTTGATGCAGAATTTTAAATCAGGCTTTAGCTTAGAACGAAGCCAGAACAGCTGTGTGCTGGCTATTCTACCTGGTTAGTGACTAAATCTTTATATTTTGGGTACAACAGTGAGAATATTTTTATCCTACTGCTGGTAAGAAACTAAATCATCTCCAAAAATCTTTTCTTAGAAAATAAAAGATGTAAAACCACATATTTCCCAGTCTGCCAATGACCGATCATGAATGTGAAATCTCAGTATATCAGCGTCCGTTAACAAAAGAGCTACTTTACAGATTGGGACCCAATCTGCTAAAGCAACAAGCACTGGAGTGGGAAAGTCAGAGGGCTGGAAAAACATGTGAAGATAAGACAAAATAAGAGATAAAAGCAAGGTTTGAGAATAAAGCCAGAGAGGGACACAAAGAGAGTTTGAAGCAGGCGGGATTAATGTCAAAGTCATCCATCCTGCTTTTTAGAGAGTTTTTGTCAGCCTCATCCCTGCACTGTTTCCTTGTATAGGCCTGTATATATTTTTGTGTGTGCATGTTTGTCTGCGTATGTGTGTGTAAGCTGATTTGTGTCTTATCGAGATCCTCTGTGGAAACAGACAATGTGGTTTATTTGTTATCTTCTTGTTTGGACCAAGAGATAAGGCGATCAGTGTTTGCTGGTGTGCGTGAGAACGTCTGGGCATGAGCGCGTCTACGTGGACACACTGGAACTTGTGTGTGTGCGCATATAGCAGTAGATAAGCTGAGTTTTGTGCCTTTGAGTTTGAGTGACAGAATCCTAATGCTGATCCCAGTGGTCAACAGCCTAGAGACGGTCCACAGAAAGCTTATTAGACCTTTATCCATTATTTATGCCACCCCTGCCTTTAGAAACACACACACACACGTCACACACACAGCAGAAACGCTAAATGTGAGTATGACGCATGCTAACATGTGTCTGAGTTAAAGTAGTCACTGAGAAACTTCGCATCTCAAACACTCGCCATAAAACCGTCAGTAACCAGCTGTAACTGCTGAATAACGCCCTGTGTTCGACTCTGCAGTGGCCCTAAACGTTTCAAACCCCAAAGCAATAACTTTCATGCAGCTTTTCTCTGGCTGTTTGAACATTTACCGTTTACATTTAAAAGACGAAATCTAGAAAAAAAAGCTAAATTTACTTACATCGTCTTATCAGCAATCCTTCACTCCCCTCAGCTCCCTTATTTTTATCATCACGCGGCCCAAAGGAGAGTTTCCATGCCAGTTATAGGATCTGCTGAAACGCACAGACAGCTCTTTCTCTTTTTTCCTGTCTTCAGGATGTTGCTGTTTTCTGGCTTCAGGCCCCAGTCCTACTTCTTTACCATCACATGGACATCAGACCCAGTGTGCGTCCTGGATTCCTGCACTTCTTTGTGGTACCTGCACAAAGCCTTTACCTGTGTGTCTGCAGCATTCCTGCCCCCCTTCATATGAATTCTATCCCCCCAACCGACTCTCTCTTTCTCCTTTTCTTTCCTCGTCCAACACAAAATGCCCTCTGTCCTGGCAAGACCCCCCATCCCCCACCCCCTTGCAGGGAAAATGGTTGGATTAAAAAAAAATGGAAACCGTTGGAGTTGGTGGATGGACGCATAGAAGGTGACAGAAAATGGGGAGCAAAGAGGAGAATGTGGAAGGAAAAGACTGATGGAAAACTGCTGGAGATTGTTGGTGACCAGTTGGACTTTAGTACTTAAACAGTGTATTTGCACCTGTGCTTGTGGGGGGTGTAGATTCAGGTACACTACAGTACATTGGAGTCTTAGTATGTCCCTTTGGCTGACTGTCCGCCTGTCCCAGTGAACAAAGCGCCTATTGACTATGAAACACACAGGAGCTTTCTCTCCTCTCCACAGGCCAATGCTTTGTGCTTGTCCTCCCAATACACACATACACCAAAACACACACACACATATACACACACACAACCTCTACACCTGCTCCTGAATATATCTGCCCGCTTTCCAGCATGGCTCCACACTCCACATTGATATGTCCATTTGGTCACACTAAGTTGAGGAAAATACCCGTTTTCCAAGTCTACTTTAGTCCATCATTCATGTCAATATGTTTTAATCTTTAACAAATTATTTCATCTTAATTTGTTTTTCATTTATCTCTGTTTAAAACATAAGACTTGGAGTTGGTACCCAGATAGCATACATATGTCTTGCTGACGCCGGCCTCAAGTCTGTAACGTCTCAAGGGCACTGGCCCAATAGCTGATTACATGCTCCAATGTCCCAGCTCATCAAACGTCTCCCGGCCAGCCAAACAAACAAACAAACAAAAAAAAAAAAAAACAGTAACCTGATGGCAGTTGCCATTACATGCCATTAAGTGCAAAAGGAGATTCGCTAATTTCCCACCATTGTTTTTCAGGTAAGCTACTGAGGTAAACTGGCAGGAAATAACTTTTGAGGCGGTTCTGTGACGGTTAAAAAAGTTGATAACAACTGGGTATGCCCATCTTGGGAAAGGTAAGAGCATGTGGCGTAGGCCTGGGCGATTTGGCAAAAAACAAGATCACGATATGACTCAAAGTCACGGCTGCCCTCAGCGTTTAGCTCCATGTTCGGTCATTCTGTTTACTTCTCCGATAACTTATAGAAGTGAGCAGAAAAAGCTCGACTCTGATTGGCTGTTGTGACGCACATTTCTGCCATGTTTGACCGAGTAAATATGCTCACAGCTGATCACGGTGATCGAACTGAAATTTATCACAATCATCGATCACAATCATATAATCACCCAGTCCTAATGTGGCGGCTACCAACTTTCGTCCTCTCAGACGCATACTGACCTGGAAGCTACAGGTAAGCACTAAAACACTGGACTGCTTGTCCTGGTGCTGCTGTTAGCTCCATTAGCTTTTAGAGTAGTAGTCCGTTGTTCGGCACAAGATTTGGTGGTAGCCGATCTGATCTGTACAGATCTCTTCCATTCAGTCAAATGGATCCGATCATTAAAACAAGCGAAACAGTTACAACTATTGAAGGGAGCAGTGAAGTGAGATTTATTTTTACTAAATTCATGCATGCCCTGATCTGGCTCCATTTCAACTTCTCCCTCAACCATGGTCCCTTAACATTCATTCATGTCAGACGCCTGACTGTATGGAGTCATGGAGCAGTGACGCAGCATTCAAACTGTCAAGGAAATTTATTGAGAGTGTTGTCGTTTTTTCATTTAAATTATTGATATTTTGCACCAGCCTATCAATAATTAAATCACATGGGTCAGGACCACCATATATTACTGTATCCATATTTTATCCCTGCTCTGTAATGCAATCCTAGGACCCTTCAGCATTCATGTAATATTGATTCATGTCCATAATTGCATCAATGTTCAGGTAGCTGTTAAGATTAGTTTCTAAACACACTCATGTCGAGGCTCTTAAAATGACACCTGCTCTTTTTGTAAAGTATCCTGAGATAATGTTCATTATTATTTAGTACAATATAAACATGAACTAGCTGATATGTTGATGAATTGAACACCAACTTCATTCTTGCTCCTCAGGTTGCTTGTTGAAGTACTAATAATGGTGAGTAAAAGTAATGCATTTGGTTCAGGTCCTTTATCACTTTCATCACCTTAAAGGATCAGCTGTCGCTCCTACAGGCTGAAATATTTAGTCATCTGTTTGCTGAAAGGCTCTGGGATTTGTGTTCGGTAAGAATCCATCCCTGTTTTACAAAATAAAAATACGGCATTTGCAGGTGGGCAAATGTTTGGACTTGTTTTTGAAATGAATGATTTTGAAGAAGAATAGCAGATAATTGCCTCTCTGCTGAGTGATTAATTCAGTTCGATCAGGTCTTGTCTAAAACAAAAGCCTGCCGACTCACTGATTTGTGAGTCTGTATACTCACAACAACACTTCACAAGTCATTGCTTTGAATTAGGGGCTTATTGGACTGGTCTTTTATTGCTTGTAGAACCACTGGCTACACTTATAATAAAGTGTAGTCCCTGTTAGACACAGTATATTGTGCCTGGCACTTGCAATAGAAGTCGTTTGGTTCTGCCTCCCAGTGAAACCATTTCGCTTGAGATACAAAGGATTTTCTTTTGCTTTAAACGCTGCCAAGGTTGGACGGAGATGCAAGAATTTGTTCAAGCCCACACCTGCTTCAAAGCTGTCTTACCTCCTGACCACACCCACAATAAAGCTACATGTGGTTATCTGCCTGTTATTTGTTCTTATATTTTGGATACAGATGAAGACTCGTTGGTTTAGTCAATGTGAACAGCTATTTTAGGAATTTGGAGTAAATTTGCAACAATAAAGGAGGCATTTAGTTTACACTCTATAAGTTGGCTCTTGGATCCAGGAGTACAAAGAGCCAAAGAGATCCTCCTGAAGTGGACTGGAGCTACGTTGATTATAACACGCTGGTTCCCACCAGGGAAAAAGGCTTAACAAGACCCGGGCAAAGAGCAGAGGAATTACCAGGTCTCACTCGCACAACAACAGTCTGGTCGAGCATTGAGCTTCTCTATGAAGTTGTGAACAGGCTAAATTATAATTCTGTGAGGCATTGGCAGGAGCCTTAGAGAGGCTATGAACTGTGTGAGAGACACAGAGTGAGACAGGGTATGTGTGTTGATGTGTACACTGCAGCCCAGAGATTTCTCGCCTCAGCTGGTCGGACAGATTACCTGAAATTGAAGGGTGAAAAAATAGACAGGAGAGGGGAAGCTAGAGCAAAAAAGACAGAAAGGTCACAGTGATCTCAGAAAGAGAGAGAGGTGGAGAGAAAGGCAGATGAACAGAAATAAGGGAGGAGGGTGAATGTGGAGGAAATAGAAGAGAGAAAGCAATAAAGATGGGTGAACACGGAAGGATGTTAAGCCAAGCAAAATTCTATAAAAAGAATTTGCTCCATTTTTCACAGACCCTCTTATCACAGTACTCACACTCCATATGTAGGTTAAAGATTTACTGTCTCTGGCATTATTCTGAGAAAGTTTCTGAAACTCAAAGAAATAATACACCTCAGTCCATGCTGAAGTCAAGTGTTCAGCAGCATTTAACAGAACAGAAAACAATAATATGTGCATGTTAAATCAATGTATAACGACCAAAAAACCCAAACTGTTTGGTTTCTGTTAACTTAAATGAGCCTTTTCTTTCTTTATAGAAGCAGGTCCCGTAACACACTGGCAGGGATGGGAATCAAAAACCGGCTCTAGATCATAATCACTCTAACTAGTTTGAGTTGACATTAGAGATGTTCGATACCACAAATTTCAGGTTAATATCGGCGATACCAATACTTTGTGAAAATACACTTAAGAGCCTGGTAAATCTAAGGAAAAAAAAATTAAAAAGCGTATTTCAAATCATAGCTTCCTAAAGATACAAGCCATCAGAGTAACTGTAACTGATCTATTTATTTTAGACTCTGAAGTATATTGAGGTAGCAGCCTCACTTACAATAAAGCCAAGCTAATACAACAGAAAAAAACAACAGAGGACACAATTATACGAAACATATGAAAATGGTGTTTCAAACACACAAAAAATTAACATGAGTAAAATAATAAAACCTTTAAAATGATAAGAAAATAGTAAACAAAATATTATTTATATAATTATTTTTATTTATTTATAATATAATTTCCCACAGATTTCACAGACTGTGTCTTCGCTGTTTGTGGGGCTGAAATAGCTCAACACATGACTCCTTTTCCTCTCCACCATTGACTCTACACAGACTGAGAGAGACTGTTGAGTGAGCAGCAGATTACGTATTATTCACTTACCCAGGTGGAAGAAAACGTAGTTTCTACCAACTGCGTGTCATTTAGACAAGATGTCAATAGTTGAGTTACTTTCCACTGTGTTCCTGTTAATAATATACGTACATTACCACAAATGACTGAAGTATCAAAAGTATCGATATTTTCATTTGAGAATCAATTTTTGAGCATACAGACCTGGTATTGGAAGTATCGATATTTCAGTATCGATCTGCACTAGCTGACAGCATTAACCTTTAGGTTCAATGGTGTCCTGACTGATGCCTTTAACTTACAGTAGCTCCGTGTGCCTTGCTAAACTATGACGATGCATCACAAGAGGTAGTCAGCATGAACTACAACCAAAAGAGCATTTTAATCCAGGTTCTGACAGCCAGAAAACATATTTCCATTTGTACATGCCGTATCTTTAAGCTAAAGCTAATAGCTGGATTTAGCACGGCATGGTATCATAGTCTACATCAGCTGATCCTAATATGGATGTTCTGGTTTAGCCTGCTTGCATTTTGTCTCCTTGCCCACTGGAGCTCCTCATTGATATGCCGTCTGATTTTACCATTGTCATAAATACTGTCTGCTCTGTACCTCAGGGGTCTTTGCTGCTGCTCTCCCTGCCTTGGTCTTTCATGTATGTACAAACAGAAGGGGCCTCGCCCTCCATACCTCAGGCTTTGGCGTCCCACAAGTGCATGTGGAGGGGCAGGGTGCTTTCTAAGCAGAGCCGTATTACTAAGTACACCTTAGTAATACTTTATAGTAGTTAGTGACACTGATGAGGGATGGGCGATAAGTTATCCTTCATGATATATCGTCAGAAAAATCCTCGATGATAGATATTTGCCATCTCATGATAAATACTAATAAATACAAGTTGATGACATAAGCGTGAGTGACGGACTCGCGGCCATAACCCACACAGAGCAGAATGACAAACAAACATGGCTGAAGGTAATGAAGAAGACGTTTCTGAGCAGTTTGTTACTGAACGAGGCTCCACATGAGGGATTTCCTTCAAGACTGTGGTTCAGATGAGTGCAATCAGGTATGCCTGACATCTGACAGTGGATCTGCTGCTGTTCACTCTGTGCAATAAGAGTTTTCACATTTGAGACTTGTTTGTTGTCATTAGTTTTCTCTATAACCTACCACTCAAACTTGTGGTTAAGTATCTTATTTGACTATTCCAACTGGTGTTCTCAAGACAAAATGAGTCAAAAATATAGACTGGAATTATAATAGTCCTTTAATAATCATTATAATAGTCCTTTAATAATCTAGACTTTTATTGTTATTGCCAGAATAGCAACTCTTAACGTGATAAATTTTTTAGCCCATTTCCCCCTTCCCTAGTACTGACTGAAGTGTTTTTTTTGCCCAGGTTTAGTTTATTGTCTATACAACTGTTATCTTACAGCCACACAAAAATCAAAACCCAAACAGGGATTTTTTTTTTGTGAAGAAAACTGCATCTACTCTAAATGTCAAGCTAACTTGACTTTCTAAATTGTTGTGCGAACATTTTTTCACACCAACTATTTTTATTTTTTTAAACTGCAAAGGGTCGTTTACACGATGTTTATTGTTGTCGTTGGTACAACTGTACTGCAAGAGTTAATTTTGACAGTCTGTGTTTGCTGAAAGCTTCCTAACCACAGTCGACTTAACGTCGCTAGCTCGTACGATATGTCCACTATGTATGTACTGTGTGTTTTAACAGATTTAAGCAAACAGTGATTGTAACCTCCAGCCTTGCTCAGTTTTTTTGCAGATTAAGTCTGTCGTACAGAATACAGATAAGCATGAATTTGTAGATTTAGAAACAACATTTTAATCTTACTTAGTAGAGTCACCCCTGCAAATTGCAATGCCTTGCAAACTACTTTTGCTTTTTTTGGATTCCCTCTACAGATGGAGGGATTACTGCGACCAAAAACTCACTAGAGTGGCACAAAAATAGACTTGTTAAAATCCAAATCTGTCTTTGAAACATTCAAGAAAACAGAGAATAGTTAAGCAGGAGTGAGAAGCAGAGGGAGGGCGATTGAATCAGAAAGAGAAAGAGAGAGAGAGGGACAGAGAGAGAGAGAGAGAGAGAGAGAGGGAGAGAGAGGGCACCCTGGCCTAGATATTTGCCTGTAAGCTGCTCACAATGCAGACATGGCAACGGGCGAGAGCGGGAGAGGAGATGAGAGAAGAGCGGAGAGATGGGCAGAGGAAAAAAAGAACCAGGGACAGAAAGTCAGGCCAGAGAATGGATTAGTGATCAAAGAAAGCCAGCGGCCATCCTGAAAGCCCCCTACACACACACACACACACACACACACACACACACACACGCACACACACACACACACACACACACACACACACACACACACACATTCATAGAGAGAGGAGGAGAATCAAGGAGATTAGGATTTTTCTGGGGGGTTAATCATTTACCTTCCTCCTTCCCAGCAGTACCTTGGCTGTGAGAACGAGCACCTTATGCATAAATCCACTTGCATTAGCCTTAGGTATAAATGTAACAAGGCAAATGCACACTTTCACACGCTCACATTGATTGATGATTGTGCCGTAATGAGAATATATGCCAGTGTAACTTTTTTTCCCCTAATTGGTTTCATAGAGTTTTCCCCGGAGAAGAGCTAACGTGACATTTACCTTTTCCTCAAGCAGAAATCCCAAAGCTGGAAATACATTTCTGAAACACTTTTAATTCCTCCTCAACCTCTGTCTCCTTCACTTGGAGGATTCACCGATAAAGAGATAAACAACAGACTGGAGATAGCAATTAGGCCGTCAAACAGCAGCTCAACAATCTCCAACACTCCCCCACTTCCCAGAGGAGCGCTGATGGGAAAAGAAAGAATAAACAGCCATGGAGGAAGGAAGGAGGCAAGGGAAAGGTTGAGCTGCGAGGAGAAGAAGAAAACTTTGTGAGAGCTCAGATCTAATCAGGAAATCCTCCTTCTCAACCTCCCAGAGCAAAACACTCATAGATACACACTTTTTTACAAACACACACTCACAGAATCACACACACACACTAACATACACACACATCTTCCCTGTCAGAGGCTTGACCTCCACAAGCTGATCTCCTTCCTTGGTTTTCTATCGCCCTCCCACTGGCTGACCTGATTGGCTAATGACAGCTCATTTATCTTGATGCAGCACCTGCAGTGTCTACAAGGCACGTGTGTGTGTGTGTGTGTGTGTGTGTGTGTGTGTGTGTGTGTGTGTGTGTGTGTGTGTGTGTGTGTGTGCGTGTGTGTGTGTGCCTAAAAGTGTGTTTCCAAGTGTCTCAGTGCTCACACACACATACACACACACATACGCACACGTTTAGACCAGCTCTATCTACGCCAGAGTTGCCCTTGTTGCAACAGCTTGCACACATTGGTTCATCTCTGGGGAATGAATGAGGAGGCAGAGGAGAGGAGGATGGAGGTGAAGAGTAGGAAGAGAGGGACAGTGATAAAGGAGGAAACAGGGGAAGAAGATGGAAGAAAAGAAATGAAAAACAGAGGAAGGAGAAGAAAAGGAAAAACAGAAGGGGGAGAGGGAAAATGAGTGGAGAGTGATTAGAAGAACAAAAGAAGAAAAACTGATAGAATAGAGAGAAGTAAATGTGGAGGGAGAAAATAAATACAGGAGAGAAAAAGGAGGATGGGGGGATGAAATGGAGGGAAGAGGGATTGATGCATGTTTTATTCACTCACTGCTAACACTCCTTTAATTAGCACAGCTACAATCACTGCCACGGTGCGATTACTGTGAGTGTGTATGGGGTCTGTAAAACGTTTAATACACAGCAGCCATTAATTATCAAATAGGCTGAATAAGTAAGTCCAGCCACAGGAAGAGGCTCAGGAACACTGGTGTCCACATATGAATGAAGATTAAACTTGAAATGACGGACACAATAATGATCATTTACAACGGATAATCACTCTTCGGCTTTTCACAAAAACATTTAAATACTGTGACACAATTCAAACTATATCAAACTCATTTTGCGTTGTTCATTATCATGAGGCTACACTGTTGATTCTTTGCAAAAAGTGCACTGAGCTGTTGCAGAGAGCCTTCAGAATTTTATCCACATAAGTACCAGGACTCTTAAAGGCACTGTAAGGAGTTTTTTTACAGGCACTGACACACTGATGCCTCCTCATGACCTACATAGTAAAATTGGGCTAACGACAACAACAACAACTGTTAAGTCTTTATGCTGAACTTTGGTGTCTAGGTCCAGCTGATAAGTATGGCAGTGAAAAGGAAGCCAACACGAAGAGGAGTTTTTCTTTCTCTATAAAAGTGAGGCTGGAGCAGGGCTGATAACAATACCGATACACGTACCTTTCTTTCATTGTAAGAAAAGTTACTCCTTTAATAGAATTTACTCTCGCTGTTACAGTCTGTTTGTTTTAGACCTTCATAAAACAAGAACAGCATTTGTAAGCTGTCACGCTGTGCGCATACTCAATACATCACCTTTTTGTTTATTAATTACTCCTTCAGAAATCTTCATTTCTGCAAATACAGATAATTAACTTTTTAATTTTTTTACTACTACAGATAATTCTGATAATATAATGACTCTCTAATTGTTACAGGTGGATAAACTCTATAATAGGGGCTTTATCAGGTCGAAAAGGAAAATGGCTGCGAACAGGATTTGATGCTTATACCATCATGGGGGGACTCTGCTGCTATATTGAGACACAAATGTTGTAATGTGTGCACTTTTTAAGAAATTCAGACATTTCTAAGGTCACCTATAACTTTAAACTGGGACGTCTGATCACCAGGGTCCCCAGAATCAACACAATCTTAAAGTTTCTTACAGTGCCTCATGGGTGAGTTTGACTGATTGAGCATCTGCGACACATAAAAATAGCAAACAGTTCTTGAAATATCCTTGTGAGAACAGAAAACAGAGCCACAAGAAAAACTTGAATCAAAGAAAAAATACGACTACAAAGAAAAGCAACGGGGCGGTTCGACACCTCTGCTGCTGTAACTATACTGTTAGTAGCTAGCTGCAATGTTAATAGAGTCTGTGCTCCCCGCACTTACACTTCACCCATCAGCTGCCAACTGCAGGTGTGGGTGAAACACTGTACATTGAGCACAGTATACCTGATTGCAGAGTAATTCACACTGCTTGCCTTTTCTAAAAGAATAAAGAATAAATGTGGATGCTGAACTAAGTAAATGTTAAAACTTAGTGAGAAAACTGTGAACAAGAACTGAAACTATTGGCAAAAAGGGTTGTGTGCTGATATACAAACCCTTAGAGTAAGCAAGCAAGAGCGAGATGAAGAGTATATGTTTTTGTTTTTAATCCAAGACAGTGATTTAAAGTTAAAGGAAAAATGGTCAATTTATTTGAGTGAATGGAAAATTTCATATTTCAGAAAGAAGTCCACCAATATTTTTCATTTTTTAAGGGCTAATACAGATATTGATTATTAGAAAACAGCATGTCTATGTGAAATCTGGCCAATCAAATAATGGTGTGGGCGGAAAATAGAAATAAAGTTGTGCAGGAAAACAAACTCAACTTTATTAGAGGCTGTCTGCAGAGGAAAACAGCTGATGCAATGGTTAATCAATGGGTAGAAACACCGTTCACTATCACTCTGAATATACCTGATGCCTGCATGATAGGTTACAGCCCAAACTGGGGTCACATTTGTTCCTTACTAACTAGCCAAATGGACCCAGCATGAATGTTCTCCTTGTCCTGGCAAATCAAAGTGACACACCACAGCATGCATCCACCACACTTCGTCTCCGAGCAAGACAGGGAGCTATTTTAGTTTGCTGTTGGTGTATATACCACTGAGAAGGGCTGCACGATTTTGGCCAAAATTAAATCCTGATATTTTTTTCTCTGAAAACGCGATTTTAGATTTCAATATTGATTTTTTATTCAGTGACAACTTCACCAAACTTCACTTTAAAAATGAAAAGTTTTTCTATCATCTCTCAAAACTAAACCACTGAAAACAATGTAGTGCATATGCCGAGCCAGTAAGTGGCGCTGTAACGCGACACAGGAAATGCACAAAAGACAGAAGAAGAGTACAGAGCATGCATATTAAGGTTGTTTTTGCTGGACATGCGCAGCCACCATGAAACAGTTACGCTGTGTGTCACAAAACTGACTTGCTCTTGCCCTATTTAGCCACGAAATTATTGCCTTCCTTTGCAAATGTCATGTCTATTTACACTGGTGGGTGTGGGAGCTGGGGAGTGCTCCCTCAGGGGAGCCTATGGTGGCCTGGAGGCGCGTGACATGACAGAGAGGAAAATCCATTTGGTGATTTAAATTTTTTTTTTAACATCTTCATAATCAAATAGACTGATTATTATTTAAAATTGATTAATCCTGCAGCCCTTCAACTGAGCATTTAACACTATAGCTGTCTCCAGGTTTTCCACCAAACTCAAGGACCTGGTATCAGTCACCTGACTGTGTGTCTGGGTCCTGGTCTTCCAAACAGTCAAACCACAGTTGGTTGGCAGATACACCCTTACCTTCCTCCTAGCACTTGAGCACCCTAAGGCTACATACTGAGTCCACTGCTGTACTACAAAGCCTTATTTTGAGTTCGACATTGTCCTCCACCAGTTTCTCGATCCACCAATATCAGGACAATTTACTACCCCTGTATTTTAGCAAGAGTAAACAGCATTTGGTCAGGAACATTTTCAATCATTCAACAACTAACAAAAGTCCGTGACCGTGCACAAATAGTGCTGAAGCAGTTCAAAAGTCCAAGTTCAGACAAAATTCCAAACATCCCCCAAAATACTAAGATAGGTCATTTGATGCTCTGCTGACACCACCTTGAGGGGGATTGGAGGGGGATAAAGAAACAGACCAAGTCAGGCAGGAACTCCACAGTGCAGGTAACTTGGCTGTACTCTACCCTGTCTAATGGGTATTTATGCCAAGCACGGCAAGAGTGAGGCTGGCGACACATGAAATATACAGACCAACCAGGTAATTGTCTTTTCTTCCTGTTACAGTGGGGTAGAAGATACCAGACATTACTTCTAACTTTGCTATTAAGAGTGGAAAGTCCTTATTTGAGGGCGTAGACTGGGGTTGGTAAGTGGTTTGTTAAAGTTGATAAATATTAAATATGTGCTCAATATCTTTTCTTTGGGGGATAAAAAGCGTTTGGTAACAGAAACGGAGTTACAGAAATAATGGCGTTTATAATAACGCGTTACTACGCAACACTGTTCATTTCCAAAGATTACATCCTTTTTCACCTTCCTTTAAAGCTACATACTCGTAAGATTTCCAGTGCAGCTGCTTTTATTTTTATGTCTTTATGCAATTTGATCACTGCAATTGCCTTACATGTTAAGTCTTACTCATACCTCACTCGTTCCTATCTCCTCCTCCTCCTCTTCTTCCTCCTCCTCTCCTTCCTGACTACAGAGAGAGGAGGGTTTGCATGTATTATGTCTTCTTTTGTTCTTTGCTGTCGGCTCATTGTCAGAAAAAAAAAAAGAAGAAAGGTAGAGAGGAGGAAGGCGGTTGTTGAGGGAGATGGAGGAAGAGGGGGAGACGGATAGGTAAAGGATGAGTGGGTTTTAATGTGACTGACTGTAGGCAGATATTGGAGGCTTCACCCACTTCTACAACCCCCACCCTCACATCCCCACATCTCTCTTTGTGCCTCCTTATCTTTTATTTTTCCTCTTAAGCCAGGTGCTGCTTATCCAGCCTTCAGCACATCTTATCCTACCCCCCTCTTCCCTCCACCCCCAACCGGCGTTATCTCTCTAGCACTGCCACCACAATCTCACACTTTGACATATGAACACACACATTCCTTCAACCTGCTCCGCTGTCTGTCTTTCCCCCTACTCTTCCTTTACCTCTCTCACATTGCTTTCTTTCTCTCTGTCATCGGGAATGCTGGAGGCAGCTGGCAGCCCATGACCTGTCGTATAGCTGCTCTGAAGTCAGCCCTGACACACACACACAGACAGGCAGGCAGGTAGAAAGACAGGCACTCATCAGCTCCAGATCTGTATCTTAACTCCAGTCTTAGAGACCTAATCCAGCAGCTTTCTCCAGCGCAGCCAGCTACTGTAGCAGCCAAGAGCCGGAACAGACAAATCCATACAGCTTAAACTCCCACCGAACCTCTCAAAAGTCAAGTTTCTACTGAGTAAACGGGGCACTTAAATATCTCGTGTTTATTTTTGTCATGATTTGTTGTGCGGCATGGCCCCAGTTGATGCAAAAACCACCAAACTCCTGAAATCTCCAAAAACTGAGACGCCCTTTTGTTCTCGCCCGTCCTGACTCCAACATAGTGCCCAAAATGCGTGGAGTTTGGCAACATTTCAGCATCACTCTCTCAGACTTAGTTAGCTTTCAACTCCATAACTCTATGAGTTAAATTTCCAGCTAATCTTTGAACTTTTATTGTCAGAGAGCAAGTGTTGTAGCTGCTGGCTGTAACGGGAGGGAGGGTGACGGAGCTGCCTGAGCCGAGCGAGAGAGCGAGCGAGCGCTCTGTCCTGATTTAGAATTAGATCTATTTCTGTTCACCCTCCCAACCCCGCGGGAAATACTTAAATCTGCCACGGATTGTGAATATATATGTGTGTAACACTGAGAGGGTGCAGCCAAGAGAGAGTGAGAGAGAGTGAGAGAGAGAGAGAGAAAGAGGGTAAAAGAAGTAAAGATCATTTGCACATAAAATTGGTAGGCTGGTTGTTTGAAAATTTGCATTTGGTTCACGGCTTTGGCACCTTGGTTTCCAATGTGCAGGCACGCCAATTAAGTCAGCAAAGTCAAATGAAACAGAATGAGGACACAGAAAGATAGAAGAAGAAGAAAGTGAAATAGAGAAGAGGAAAAAAAAAAGAGGATAAAATGAAAGGACAAAGTGTTAACTTTTAAAGCGGGAACTAACAGGGTTAGACTCAAGCGGTGGTCAGCGATTTGTACGCAGAGCACGTACGGACTTAGCCAAGCTCACCCTCTGGCTACACACACACACACACACACAGATCATCACACACACCCACAGTCACAGTCACTCACAACCTCTCCAACAATCTGAAAAAGTCTGGGGCACAATCTCAGCTCTATATCCAATCTCACAGGGATCCAAATGTCACCACCAGCACCTTTGACCCCTGTGAGTGTGAACACCTCACACAGCTGCACGGAAATCTAAACACACTCACAGCAACCGTGACTGATCTCAGAAAAGACAGCAAACACACACACACACACAGACACACAAAAGTGAGTGTCTATAAATACATGCAGACTCCAAAAAGTGTTACTAAAAAAAAAAAAAAAGGGCACACACTCACCTCAGAGTGGATCCCGACGCTCAGCTGCGCTGCTGTGGTGAAGGAATGACCAGCTGCACCCCCGTCCTCACGAAGACACATGCACACACAGGGGCGCACACACACTCACACACCCCCTTGGAGGCGGCGAGGTGTGTGTGAGGACAATGAGACCGGGCTGGATGGAGCTAAGCAGCAGCAATAGTAGTAGTGGGAGGAGGAGGAGGAGAAGGAGGAGGAGGAGGAGGTGGAGAGAGGAGGGAGATGTGTGGTTGGGCGGGAAGGTGAGGAGTAAAGAGAGGGAGAGAGAGAGAGAGAGAGAGTCTGGGTGAATAATGAAATACAGCAGAAGAAAAAACAGGCTTGAAAAAAAAAAGACAGACTTGAAAAAGGGTCCCCCTAGAGTGGAGTCCCTCTTGTTCCATCTGCAGTTTTGTTTGTGTGTCTGTGTGTGTGTCTGTCTGTGTGTGTGTGTGTCTGTGTGAAGGTGTTTATACGGGGATGTTGAGTGAGAGTGTGTGGACAGTGTGAAGGCTCGACAGTGTCTCCTGTTAGTCACTTGAGACTTGGCGCCCTGCCTCTGAGCACAAAGTGCAGTGAAAAGAGCGGCTTTACATCACGTCTGAGTGTCCGTGTCTGCGTGCGTGTTGCCCACTCCATCAGCCCGCCTATAGCCCACCAGCATTACAACCCTTCTCATGTCTTTTTTTTTATTTTTTTTCTCTGAAGCTCCTCTTCGTCCTCTTCATCTCTGTCTCTCTGCGGGGAAATACCTCCGCCGCTAATCTCCTTAAAAGTCCCTCAGCCTTCCAGAGACAGACTTCCCTTTCAGAAAGTCTCTCACTCAGAGCGTTTTGGTGTGTCCTCAATCCTGAGTGTGAATTATCAAGCAGCTATAAGATGATGTGGAAATTTTTCGCATTGAGGAGCATGCAGGAGACTATGTAACAGATAATGTGTAGTTAGCCAGTGATTACATAAAGCAGAGTCTCCATGAGTGAAGGTGGGCACGGAGGTGGTTGCTATGGTCCTCCGTCATCGACTGAGAGTTTTTGCCTGTAGCATCATATCCGCTTGGACTTCCTACTCTGTCTACATCTACTTACTCTGATTTCTACGTTAATTCAATCTGCTGAATAAAAATTTAAGTTTGTAACTGATTAATCGAGAGAAATACAAAAAATGATCATCCATGTTGCTGTCAGAAAGTCAGGAGGAGGGGAAATCATAAACTTTCTAGATGTTGGTTTGATATGCTTGGAGTGTGTGATCAGATTATCCTCAAACTACAAAAATCTGACTATATGTTTAAAACGACACATTGAGAAAGTATTGTCTCAGTAAAGGTTTATATTAGCTGGACGAGGGTCAATAAGATTTGGCTTTTGCATATCAGTGACCCGTATTTTCCACTTTCGTGCCAATTTTCGTCCAGTTTGTTTCAAGATGCTTTTCGAAATCCTCGATAAACTCAGTCCAGTACCTGTGTATTCACCTGCATCTGAAAATATTTCATCTTAAATGCGTCATTTCCAAAAATAACTTCAGTCTCCTGCTGTTTGAGAAAACTATTTTGCCGTTTTCAAAGTCAAACTAATCCTCGACTATGATTCCCATTTCTGTCCCCGAGGAGCTACAAACAGAGGAGGAAAAGTTAGAAAGTAAACTGAGATGCACAGGCTGTTGGTTTTGGGAGAAAAATGTAAAATAGTGACAGATTTGCTGATATAAAACTTAAAAAAGAAAGAGATTTTTCATAGCACTCATCTTAACGACACAGTCACATTTGAACAATTAGAACCAGCGCACACGACCAGAGCTCCAGGTGCAAGTGTGTTTGTGTGCGTGTAACTGCGTGCGTGCGCGTGAGGTGTCTCGCAGCCTCAATCCTCCAGCTCAGCCACAGAAAAGCCAATCTCCACATCCAATTATTTGCCTCTCAAAGGCAGACAGATGGAGAGAAGGGGAAAAAAAAACTGAGAGAGAGGTAGAGAGACGAAGAGTCAGAGAGGAAGGAGAGAGAGAGAGAGAGAGAGAGAGGCTCTTTGAGGGTCTGCACAGGGTGGAGTTAATTAGAATGAAAAAGAGATGGAGGGAAGAGAAAGTCTCTTCTCAGCTCAAGTCCGGAGAATAGTTTCACAATTAGCCAAACCCCAAACAGAGCCTGTGGACACAACTGAGCGGAGAGAGAGTGAGGGAGCATGTGCTAAAGAGAGAGAGTGAGAAAGAGAGAGAGAGAGAGAGAGAGAGGAGATCAAAACTGAAATGAAAAACGCCAAGAGGGACGGAGAAGCTGAAGTTGTTAGAGAGGAATGAGTGTGGAGAGCGTGCTGTATGTGTTTGTTTTTTTCTCAGTTTGTGTCTCCATACCCTCCTGAGGCGAGCGCTGGCTGTCCTGCCTTCTCAACGCTTGTTTCAGTCCTCTTCTCTTCTACTTTTTCAGCTTCTTACTTCTCTCTCTCTCTCTCTCCTTCTTCTCCCCCCCGCTGCTCACGATATTCCATCAAAGAAGCGTCCGGCTCGTGATGGATGGAGGCATCGCCGCGCTCCAAACACACTCCAGCTTTCACTATCTTCTTCTCCTCTTCGACTCTCTGTTTTATCCCCTCTCTCTGTACTTTCATTCAGCCGGTGCATTTTTCTTTTCTTCCCAGCAGCGGTGACACACAGCGTAGGGGGGGTTGAGGACAAGGAAGGGTGGGAGAGGAGAGAAACAAAGTGAGAGCAAATGAAAAAAAAAAAAAAAAAAAGAGGGAAAAGATCAAGTGTAGGAAGATGGAGCGGCGAGCGGGGAATGACGGGAAGAGGCAGGTGAAATTGGTAGTGACACATCGCGGAGGTGTGTGTCTGCGTGTGTGAGTGTGTCAGAATACGGGGGCCGTCCCTCTAGCCGTCAGAACACCAACGAGGAAGAGGTGGAGGAGGGGGAGGAGAAATAGATGGATAGATGGAAAGATAGGTGGATGGAGGGGTGGATAGAGGGAGTGATTCAGCAAGTATACCTCCTCCTCCTCTCCTCCTCCCACAGACAAACACACACACACACACACACACACACACACACATTGGCTTAGTTCATTATCATTCACTGGATTTCACCATGACACGCATGGCTAACCTACTCACGGAGACAGAGCCGAGTCCTGAACTGAATCCTAATGGAGCAGAGAGAGAGGATGATGATGGTGGTGAGGAGGAGGAGGAGGAGGAGGGTGTATCAGGCAAGCAGGTGTCCCCTCTACATCTTTTGTTTCCTGTCATTGTGTGTGTGTGTGAGTGTACTCTGTTAGTGTGTACCGAAACTTTTTGCACACACATTTCCAATTCAGCCTCTAACTGTTCCAGGATACGATGAAGATGCCGGGTTCAGATCTGTCTTGTGAATCGTGTGGCGGAGAGCCTAACCTTTTTTTTTATTTCTTCATCAATTTAACATGAGGCTGAAATTCAAACATAAAAAAAGTCAGTATGGATTGTTGGGTTGTTAATGAATCCTCAAAAACGATTGTGTGTTTCCATACATGGCAGAGTGCAGAGGAGAAAGTGCTGGTGTTGGTCAAGGTTGTGTTGCTGATCTCAACCTGTTTCATATTGTGTTTGTTCTATTTATTCCCATTGGTTTATCATTACCCTAAAATTAACCCTGATTCAGGCCCCGCCCACCATTAGTCTCCGCGTCAGTTCTGGAAATGTCGCCTCCTTCTGATCGCTGTGTCATGGCCTCATGTCCTCACAAAAACAGGTTTAGGTCTCTAAAAATGAAGCATGGATTAAATGTCAAAAGTTGAAGATTTTTAAAGTTGTCTTTTGTCCATGTCCAGAATGACAGCTGTCAGAGGTTTCGTGAAATAATGACATCATGGACTAAACTACAAAGAGTGTGAGTTCAGGCTGTCTTCTGGTTACTCTACTTCATCATTTTACACCGCTGTTTAAAACAGTAGCATCGTAGACTGAATATAAAATGGATGTCGTCTGCCTCCTCGCTGGGTGAAGCCAATGCAAGAACAGCACCCTCTGGTGACGGGCTGCAGTACAGGTCATAAATCCCGCCTCCTCCAGCAATCCCTATGGAGCTGTGGACACACTTAAGGAGATTTATTGCACAGAATATAAGGTCGCTTTCACACCTGACCAAGTGGACTCGGTTCGATTGGGGAGCTGAAAGTCGCATTTATCCCTTGTTTCAGTTCTGCTTTCACACTGTGATTTCTTAAGCGCTCCGAACTTTCCGAGCAGCATCACGTGGTTGAAAGGGGCGCTCGTCGATTGGACAAAGTAGGAGGGGTATGTAACCTCACAGATTACAAACAGAGGTGGACTAGCCGTCTTGTATCGTGCTTCGTCACATTATTTCATGGAATGCTACAACGTTAGTGAACGCAACTGTTCCTATAATGCTATCGTAGCTTGTCAGGGATTGATCCTGTTATTTTTCTAACTTTGACGATCTAACATGTGACAACATATGAGCTCAGAGTTTAAGGACTGTGACTGTTGGTAGTTGTGATTTGATTTTGTTTAAATTTACCAAATTGTGAATTTATGGGTTATTGTTGTTCAGACAATTGAGCTAAGTTAGCTAGCAACTGCTAATGTCAGCGGTAACTTGTTGCCAAAGCAACAAGTGACGCCGTGCTTCCTCTACCCAAGATGCACCCTTATGCACTGCGTATAGCGTCATTACGTACATTTGGTCCTGTATTTGGTCCGGTGAGCTTTCACACTGCAGACGAACCGAACCAGGGTTCACTTGCAAGCGAACCGAGACCCACGTTTTCAGGCGGACCAGAGTTCGCTTGTTTGGTCCACACCAGAGTTCAGATGAGCTTTCACACCTGCCCAAACGAAGCAGACTATCCAAGGAAACGAACTCTGGTCTGTTTAAAGCGGACCAAACAGCTCTGGTGTGAAAGCGACCCAAGACTGGTTTGTGCTCAAGTCCCCTTTTCTCTGTGCAGCTCCGTTTTTAAAAGTTATTCGGGGGTTCATGTTTTCTATGATTAACACTTGAAACAGCCTATGGAGGTACAAAGAATGCGTAGCTCACTTGGGGGATACGCTGTTTGAGTCGAGTGTCATCAAAGCGACTCTCCCACAGAATACGTACAATGCTGCTGCACAAGTGGTGGTTCCAGGAAGTGAAGAAAATACCGGAAATACAGAAAGCAATTCGGCGTCAAACTCAAATAACCACAGAAGGGGGAACCAAGTTGTCCATAGTATATACAGTTTATTATTAGCACGCTCAAGTTAATGCTTAACATGTATTGGTAAAAAGCTCTGCCATGGTGGTTGATGTGACAGGCTAATAACAGATTAATGCCACATGCTGGCCTGGCATGTGGACATTTTTAACAGGTTCTGTACTGTAGGGACAGAATTATTCAAAAACAGCACCAGTGTGGACAGGATTGTTTTGATGATAAAAAAACACAACCTTGGTAAACAGGATTAGAAGCTGCTTTAAACACAGTTTCACTAAAAAAAAATGAATGTAAAGGTTTGTTCATCCTTGTGCTGGAGCTCAGCACAGAGTAAAACTGGGGATACAGAAACAGCCCTGTCCGAAAGTTAAACATTAACCAACATGAACTTCTGAAACTCACTCACTAACACATTAACAAAGCTGTAGCGACCACCTTAACATCACCGTGAGGTTTCCAGGAAACAACTGATGAACAGGTTTCTGGTCTTGGTGCGGGGCTAAGCTCATGGCATCTGATCAAGAGCATCTGATTTCTCCAGTCTCTACCTGACAGTATAGTTTTGTTCGCCAAAAGGTTAATGGCATGTATTGTATATAGAACAGAAAAGAGCAGGCAGCAGAAGGAAAGAGAACCTGGACAGGTGTGGTTTGTAAAAATGAGAACAGTGGCGTAAAGGTCAGACCATGTCACATGTAACCTCACAGCTGTATCAGCAGGAGTCAGACAGAAAATGAGCTCCTGCTGTGGCTGTTAAATCTTTGGACATGGATTCTTGTTACAACATTGTAATCACTAAAATCTGATTAGTTCAGTGTTTGGGTTTCCTCTAATGAGATTAAATAGATGTGCAGGCAAGCATCAATTAGGTGGGATTAATCAATTTTGTTGGCAAAATGTGCTTTTCAAGCTTGTGTTAAGCAGCTATAAAAGGCTATGAGAATGGCTCAGCTGTTCCTCCTCTTTGCACAGCTATGTAATGCAGGAAGTGACTTATTATGGGCTTCTATTAATTACAGCTATATTGAGGATTTACTGAACAAATAAATCAAGTTTATCTGTGAACATACCAATGACCATTCTAATGCCAAACAGAAATTGTGGATAGTATTAAGTGGAAATCCTGCTTTCCTAAGCTGAGATCATTGTTTGCTCACATGAGAATCATTAAAGACTGCATAAGCCTGAAATCAGTGAAATCAAGTTAATCTTTTTAAGTGTTATCTAGTCTTTGAGTTCTGATCAGCCATGACAGTCAAACCCATGCATGCCAAATTTCAATTTTAGATTCTTCAGTCTGACTCATTAAGTGAGCTGTTGGTATCTGCAAACACAGGCACCTACACAGTCCTGTATCCTGTTATGTGTTTGGACTCAGGCATCGACTGCAGCCGGAGAAGAACTTAGACTCAGTTACTGGTGTAAACTGTTTTATTGTGGCTTTTAAAAATAAAGTATATTTTCGGAGCAGCCGTCTTTCTGTGACGTCACCTTTTTTTTAGAAAATCCATTAGCTAACATTAGTGCACAGCAGGGTGCCAGGGTGTATGACAGTTATTGTATTTGTATGATAATTTTGCCCTTGGTACGATGTACGACCAATAACCCAGAAAAAAAGCTGAATGAACCGGATCAAGGCTTGTATCCCCAATGTCGTGAAAACCGCCACCTTCCAGTATTAACAGTATCAGTGCTTACGAGTAGTCATCCCTGAATAGTCATTAGCGTCTCTTTCTCTCTCTCTCTTTTAAAATCTGTTAACTAGGTAGTGGCTGAATGCTAGAGTTGACTGTGTCAAATATATATTTTTATCCTATAATATCACCTGATTTCTCTCATGGTGTCTCTTCTATCTATCGGAGAGTTTGTCACGTTTTCCAGAGGATGGATAAAGTGCAGCAGATGTCAGTGCAGCACCCTGCCTGAGCTTTATGCCATGCTGTGTAGTGTTTTACGATTCAACAAGGAGGTGGGGCATGCGGGGCAATTTCCTACATATCTGTCTCATCATGTCTTGAATTGATTCATTCAAATGGAGGAACTGATTTTGTTTCAGTAAAGATACTCATATAAGATCTGGAAAGACATGTTGCCTATCCTTTGTCTCTATTTAACAACGCTTTAACCACTCTGTGTTTTGGCAAGGCTGCGGATATCATTGTCAAACGAGATATCAGATCAGCTCTTCAAAGGGGTGTCTCTAAAACCTCTAATTAAAAGCATGGGCTCTGTAAGCAAATGTGCATTAATACCCTGTTTTAAGCCACTTATTAGTTTATTTCATTTATAGAAACATTACTTTGCACATTAAGAATTACTTGTGAGACTTGAAGCCCCAATGTTGCCCCAATGCAGTGCTGTTAGTAGCAGTATTATGGGGTTTTAAAAAATCAACATATCATCAACAAAGTCTTTATTATCAGGGGCTCAAAGAGATCCAATGCAGCTCCTCCTCAAATAATACTGCCTATGAAAATGTATATACTTTCAGCCTGGGAGAGACATTTGTTTTGAAGGCAACATTCATGCCCACCTCTACCAAACAAGACGAGAAAATAATAGGTACATCTTGTTTTATTTGCCCAAAGTGACGGCGCTGACATTTATTCTGTGATTGTCTTATTTCACCACCAACCTCCTATGTTTTCCAATTTCTGCACTTTCACATTCCGTACTGT